GAGAATTAGGCACTGTTAATACTTTTCTCACATTTATTCTGATGTTGAAAGAGGCCTTTTAAAAAGGCACCGTTTCCTTATTATGTTTTTCCAGAATTCAGTGTACCTCCTTTCGTGTCAGTCAGTCATTATTTCCCATTTGATCTGTCCTTGGAAGGCTGCTTTTTAGAGAGCCAGTATTCTTTACACCGTTCTCTTTGTTCATATTGGTTTTCTCAGGGCTTCAGACCTGATCCTCCTTCATATCTCTACAGTTTCTTTACACTTGTCTTACACTTCTACCCTGAAAATGGAGGCAGTAGTTTCCTCTGAAACATCTACTGTGATATACCAGACTACAAAATATCACATCCAAGAAGACAATGATCTTGATTGTCATTGCTGTGAGAACTTCACATCTCACACTTATGAAAAATACTTTGATAAGCTGCTTTAACAGGAAGAATTTGTAAATGATTGAGGTTGTAGATATTCAGTCTCAAAAATAACAAAATAATGTTTTGAGGTGTACTTAAGTAATGATGCATGTTACAGGCAGAATAGTGAACTTGTCCAGCGCACTGTCCCGCTTCAGTCTGCCTAACAGATCAACATATGGCATAACAAAGTATGGGATACAGGCTTTGTCAGATTGTCTGAGGTTTGAAATGAAGCGCTGGGGAATCAGCGTTTCAATTATTGAACCTGGAAGCCTTGTCAGTGGTAAGAGAAATTATACAAATGTCTCTAAATATATAATAATTATCTAATATTCTTTCTTTCTTGTTAGGGGCACAAGGAAAGTAAAGATTTGAGATAAGGTCCAATGTTAATCTGCATTTCAGGTCTCTTCACCGAAGACTCAGTTAAAAAGCAAGCAGCTGACCTTTGGAATCAGATACCTGAACAGGTTCAGAAAGTATACACAAAGGAATTCTATGATGATGTTATTGGGGACATGCTCAAACATAGCACTGTGAGTGTAAGTACATAAAATCAATAAAACAAAAGACCATTATAATCAAGTTACTGCTCACTGTTGTGTGTGATGGGGAGAAACTGTCTAGGGAAAGATGTAATTTTTACAGATGAACAATTTCTCCAAGTACTTCGGTTTCCCCTGCCAATTCTCATTCCATCAACTTCTCTGCTCCCATCTATGATCATTTTCATCATCTTCATTGCTGTCATCATTATCATCATCATCATTGTCATCACGCAGGGCTGGTAAAATAGGCCAGATAGTGGCTGTCATACCAAGTCATTTCAGTCTCAATCCGCACAAAAATTAAAAAGAAATTTCTTTTTTGATATGGAGAGGTTTAATATGTAGAGGTCTGATTGATTTGTGGGTTTCTTAATGATGTTTATAATGCCTAATCTGTAGAGCATGAAAAGAACTTTGGAAGGTAGTAGTGAATGGTAAATATGTAAGGTTATGGAAGGAGTGGTCATATCCTCTTTAAAAATGCTATTCTATTAAACTGCAATATTCTAAAATTGAAGAGCGCTACAGAGAACTCCATTCAGGATAGCAAGTGACCCACTTGGCATTTGTACTGGATACTGTCCATTTGTGCAATTGTAGAGTGTTATGCAGTCCTGCTTGGTGTATGGCGCTTTTATTTTTTGTGAGAAGAAATTACCTTTTGTTAGTTATGCCTGTCTGTGGCCAAAAGTCGGAGCTTTTTAACATTAAAGCAGGTGGTACATTTGCCCATCTATATCACCCTGAATACCTTGGATGAAACTATGTTACAGGACATACCCAGAACACCTGTGGTGGATGCATACATGCTGGCACTGGTGCATCGCTTTCCTCATCCTCGCTATCAGCCAATGGAACTGAGAATGAAGATAATGGTTTGGGTGCATACTCATCTCCCGGAATGGGTGTTTGAGAAAATTTTTACGTAGATGTATACCCAGAAGTTGCATGAGACTAACAGCAATCCATCTGGTGGGATTAAGAGCCAGTTCAGAGAGGTCATTAACAAATGAACATTTTTAAATAAGATTTGAAGCTTTCATGGCAAAGAAATGCATTAAAATCTTCTTGGGCGGTCAACCATATCAAAGTTGGTTTTAGAAACCGTCTTGATGCAGACTAGCTGACAGAGTACGGCCATTTCCCTGGTTAAGCAACAGGGTACAACAACTTAAGCAGGAATGAGAACCACTCAGTTTGTCTCTGCTCGCCTGCTGCCTTTCACACCAATGAGGAGGAGGCACTGTGTTGACAGATTTATGTGTCTGTGAGTTATGGTTGCTTCCTACATTGACCCTGATGATGAGACAGAACAAGTCTCCAGAATAGTTTGTATGTCAATTTTGATGCAGCTGATCACCAGGGAAGCTATCACATCTTTATTATAAAAATGTTAACACATTTAACTTCTATGTTACTATAGGCTTACTAATTTGAGGTGTTAGCCCTAGGATGCTGAAGCTGTTATTTTTAATTCAGATTACTAAGATGAGAATAATTGAATCCTTAAGTTATAAACTGAATTTGGTGAGGACCAGGTTGAGAGCATAACTGAGGACTGAGGTCATGATAGAAGTTCTTGTTTCTTTTGCCTGCCACACATCTCTGGGATGGTGATTAGCAGGAATAGCTGGAGTTACTTTAAGAAAAATCACTACCAGTGTTACTTAATGTGTCACAAATGTAACGTGGATGATGTCAGCAGTGAACCCAAACCTCTGGAATGGGAACTTGGTATCATAGCACACTCATGAAACATCAGCTTGGCATTTAAACCTCATGTGATCAAAGATACTGGGTTGTGAGCTGCAGCAATTTTTAATATCATAAACTTTATTCCCTTCATATCCAAAATAATTTTCCTTTAGGATGACTCTAATACATAATATAATTTATGTAAGTTTTCAGGATTTAATGGTAGTAATTGCTCAAATTATGGTCTTCTGGGATGTGACACCATGTAGTCTTGTGGAAGATAACAACATACAGGGTGAATATGCTGCCTCCACCTTCAAGATTGAAGTTTGTAGAGTGATGAGACAGTTGGGTTTTATAGGCAGGTTGCAAACAAGGTGTTCACTCAGATTCATAGGAGGTGGATGAGATGGAACTTGGTCCAGGGCAATAGGAATAGCAAACAGGAAACAGATTGAGTGGCACTCCAACAGCACAAACAGGGATGATGGATTCTCCTTCAGCAAGTTGTCGAAGCCTCTTATCCACTTCCTGAAACAAAAGATGGTGAAAGTTGTCTGCAAGGACAAGGTACTCTTTTCCTTCCAAGATCGCACTCCTCCATACTGGTGCCCAAAGAATGAAAGGCTTGCTTTCTCATGTCCCATCTGCAGGAAACCTGGAGAAGGCCATCTTTTCTCATGACCCCATTTCCCTTCTGTGGTGAATGGAAGAATTGTGACACTCAGTGGGAATATTTCCTTTTCACCATTTTTCTCAAGATGTCTCCTCTTCCTCTCTTATGGGTCTTAGTGATTGACTTCCCTGCAACCGCCCAATAAAAATTAATTAGCTGCTCACCCTACACACTTCAACCCTGAAATGGAAGGACTGTGTTCCTTTGAAACATTGGTATCCACATACCGGAGTATATGGCATAACAGTCTATAAGATCACAACTTAAAAGGGTAAGGTGTTATAAAGTTTTGATATGCAAACAGTTTTGATCAAAATAAGGAAAATGCTGAAAATCATCATTAAAAATGTTAGCAGAATTCTAATCACTACAGTTTTCTGTGTAAACTGTCAATTGTTCTGTAGTAAAGATTCTTGCAGTCAAGGTAAGTGTTCATACAGCAGATTGCAGTGCCTTGTAAGAAAGGGGCCAATGGCATCAGCTGGCAGAAGCTTAGGAAGTCAATCTTTGCACCCATCTGGTGTTGAACGCGACCTGATTTCAAACAACACTTTATGTACAATTTTGATGAAAAGTATAGTTCTGATAAAAATATTACTTGATTGTTCTCATTAAACCTGCATTACTAGCTCTAAAAGATATTTTAATAAGAGTTTGTCATCAGTATATGTTGCAAAATTGAATTTCACAAAACAATTAATTATCTATATACTACATAACAGCCAAAGTCCATTTGCCCATTTATCAAATCCTGTTTCTCCCATGTGGTGCATCGAAGAAAAAAATTATGGAAATGAAAGATATTCCTCATGGAGAGAGAACCATAGATACATTGTACATTTTGTACATGAATATGAATCCAAGTCACTTTCCTCATGACCTCCCCATAAGAGAAGCATTTTGATCATGATGAAAATGAGTATGTAAACTTTGTATGTTTTATAATGACCATGGTAACGAGCTGCTTTTACATTACTTGTGACATATTTTCATGCTTATTTTAAGATATTAATAACTTACTTGTGTCTGCATAAATATAAGTAGTGTACTCCACTTTTATGTATGTGAACTTCCAATGACAGCTAGGCTGTTTTATTGATGGAATACAGTCTTCTTTATACAGCATGTCCCACAGGAACTGTGTTCCAAACGTGATGTGTGTTTGAGTCCAAGAACCTAGGGATGTTAAATGTAAGTAACCTCTACAAAAAACAAAAATAATTTCTGAAATTGCAGTGCCGATTTTTCTGCATGGGAATGCTAGTTACAGTAATATAATCTTTAGTGTGTAAAATAATTATGCTGATCTCCACCATTTGATGCTCAATAAATATGCAGTGAACGTTGAACATTATGAATATTTTGAAGTGTATCTAAACTTTTCTTTTTGCTTGTAAATTAATTGTGTCAGCTGCAGGGAAAGCCAGATGTGAGTGAAAAATATTACAATGAAGTAACGTGTAAGCTTATATAGAAAAAACTGTAAATCCAGCAATGGAGGTATCACTACCCATAAAATGGCCATCTCAGTTCATATGACATATAGTACACTGCAAAACAAAGTAAGAGACACTATGTTTGTTTCTTCTGGTTTATGAGGGCATCCCAACTTCAGCTAAGGAAAAACAGGACATTACAAAAAATAATTTAGGAAATGTACACAAGGCATAAGAATTTTGGCACACTTGTGGCCATCACACAACAAACTCCTGCCCCAGCAAGAACATACAAGACAGCCACAGCCAACAAACCAACAAAACCATAAGGCAAACACACGCAGTTCAAGAACACCCAAATAAAACAGCTGGTTACCCCACATAACCAGAAGTAACCCATCGCAACTGCATAATTCAATTCAATTCAATTCAATTTTATTTCATCCATGGATCATNAGGCAACTGCATAAGGGAAACAGAACAGCATTACAGTGAGCAACAGATTCCTTCATCAGAACAACCTGTATATCTGAAGATGGCTGGTTAGGCGGAGACATGTAGTGTCAATAAAGAAAGAAAAATGACAAGTGAGTAGTAACCAACACTGCACATATGTGGCATAAAAGCAAAATTCAAAGTCAGATCTATACAGTGCAACAGGATGCTGCAACATAACATTATGACCTTGTATGACTCAGAAATATCTTGCTTACATTTGGAAATTATGTATGGTATAAGTAGAATAGTTAAAGAGTATTTGAAAGGTTGCCTCAGTTTGAAAATGTGTTTTATGCATGGTTGAGTATAATTTCTTTTAAGGAAAACTGTCTCAACTTGGGAAATTATGTCATGTATGATACAGCAAAGCAGTAGATAAATATACATTGTCTTTTGCAGTATGAAGTTCTGTAGGTAGTCACCACCTACCAAACTGTGTTGTGTCTTAATCCAGAAAATGACAATCTTCATTGCTGTGAAAATGTCATGTCTCATCAGTTGTCAAATTAATAAATAAACAAGTTGGAAATGCATGTATAGCATAACTATTCTGGCATGTTTGCTACCTTGTATTTAATTATCTAAGAAACTGTGAAAGTTGTATAAACTGGTATATTGAGCATAAAATTTGTTTCATTTTTCTCTACAGCTTATGTATAAAACATGTTTTGGTAAATATTTAGCAAGTTACATGCACGTAAAACAGAAGGTGCCTGAAAGAACATACATAGGGCTTAACATAAAGTATCCATTATTGTTATCAGTTTTAACCAAAACTGGAACAGGTTAACATGTTTTAGTTAAACTCCCTAGTATCATGCTTAATGGCTATATGTCTAATCATGCTTAATTGCTATATGTCTACAGGAAAACTGGTGGACAGAACAGTTTTAATATGGGCTCCACAGGATGCAAACATTCTTAATAAAAAGACAACAAGAGAATAAATGAGCTTTTGTCAGAGGAAGAGAAACAGGCCATAATAGCAAGCAAACATGATTGTGATTTCCTGACTGAGAGTAGAGGCTAATTAAGATTAATATACAATATATTTCATACAAGAACTAATGCACTGTAAAACTTTGATTTATATTTTGTAATATTTGGGTGCATGTTTATTTTTAGACAAGTGGTCTTTTTTTTTGTTGTTGTTAACCAAAGAGGTAAAGTTTAATATAGAATATGTGGCTTATACTCAAGAGATATTTCATTTGAACCTTCGACTGTGGTAACTATACTGAATATTTTATTTCTTATAGGCAGATACCTGGATATTGCCTTCTCTGAAACAGACATATGCTGCCTCCTTCCTATATCCGTCTCCTTCACTGATGTTTTGACACAACAGTCCCTGAGTATAGTCACCTGTTATTTCTGTGAAAAAGACAACATAATCTAATACTTTGATGGTGTTGACAGTTTGAGTGCACAGAAACAGTAGGTTCAGACAAATTTCATATGAAACTTGTAACCACATAAGATTTGGCATACCAAGCAAGTTGTGGTAATGCTTCTGAGTTGTATTCAGGAGGTAACTTGTTTCTAATCTCTTCCATGACACCAGTTACCCTGACTGAAGATCTTTGTGGTTTTCCTAAGTAATTTCGAGGAGATTCCAGAATAACTTAATTAGGCCATGAGTGTTCCCTTCCATATCATTTAAAATTCATTTTTCACTACCACCGAGTCATTTGAGTTACTGACAGTATCATTAAGTAAACTACAGTCTTTAGGGTATAAGATGGAGTCACCAGTTTGCTCCAAATATTGGTACCTATCTTCCAAGCTGCACAGCATCACATCCCAAAATATTCACTGTCAGAGAATCAGATCTCACATATGTTAATTCATATTCAGTTCTTTGGATGTTCTCTGTTTATTTAAGTAGAATAATGCTTTTGATAACGTTAATATGGTATGGACATTTGTAACGGCTCCAGCAGATGAGGTGGTCAAATTAGATTTGGAATTCAGTACTCCCAGAGAGGCACAAATGCTCATTTTCGTGGTCTGTTTTATAAGACTGTGAGTATCTCAAACCATACTGATGAATAATGAACTCTAAAGGATTTTAAAGGAAGCAGTCATGGCTTAATTGATGTACAGTCCCAGAATTTGCCTGGGGGGAGCTGAGGAAAACCACTAAAAACATCAACCAGTATACCCAGTGTTCCAGCCAAGGTTTAAATGGAACACCTCACAAATACAAGGTTAGACCATTATTGCTAAACAATTAGTGTGGTAGAAGAAGAAGTTTGGAAGCTGGCAAGCAACATGAAACAATTATGATTCTTTGTATTTCATTAACTATTCACATTATCAGCATATTTTTCAAATAACAGTTTTAGATCCTAATAATCTCTTCATCTGATGTTTCATTATATTTCTTTTTGAAGAATTGATGAATTTTGATTTGAGCTTCACATAAATTGTGTGTTTATTGGACAAATATAAACCAAGGTCAAACCTTTAGTGTAAACCCCCAGTACTAAATTAAAAAGAAATTTATATTAGTAATTTTTTGATATATAACATGCAGACAGAGGAACACAATCACTTCCCATGTCTGCTTACTTCATGTCCTTTCTACAGAAATCACATCTCTAGCTTCCATTTGAAGAAGTCAGAGATTTGAATATTGACTTGTGTTATCACTCTTGCTGGTAAACAAGAGTATTCAGGTTATCTCTGTAGACTGTAGCCTCAAGGATAATGTCGGTAAACTAGAAGATTTGAAGCAGAATTCACTGTAGAAATTGTGTGAAAGTCAGGAAATAGAGGAAAAGAGAGAACTTTGTTTAGAAGGCAGATTATGGTTTGAAACTCACATGAAATGCTGGATTTGAGGCTCTCACATCAGTGATTATGAAGAGCATGGGCATCTGATTCTGAGTTGTAATGCCATGGAGTTCAGACAGCCAAATGGTTCGGAGGAAGATACTATCTCCTTCTTCAGGGTTGAACTGCATGGCATTATGATACAGAAGATTGTGTTCCTCTCTGTGAAATATGTTAGACAAAATAAAATATTTTCTTTGTCAAAATTTAGTTACAAAGGAATTTGATAAAGAGGAGACTTGTCAGTTCAGCACAAGGCAGTTTGATATGGTGGTAATTCTGTTCCTGGTTTGAATTGCAGTTGTACTACTTGGCATCTGGATCAAAGTTTCTTTTGTATTTCTACATCCTCTCTGGACAAATGTCAGGATAGCACTTTGCAATAGGTAATGAGACCCTCCTTCAAAATCCTTATCCACTTGTGGTTCTAGAGTATCTTGTTCGATACTCTCTATGACAACTGGAATACTCCTTCATATTTATGAGGTCCTAGGTTCAAATCCTAACGTAGAGACCAAGATTTCCTCACTGGTGTTTTTTTATTTATTCTGTTGGTTATTCTGTTTCATGTGAGAAATGAAGAAGTGTTAATTAGAGTCAGGAAGAAGAAGAGTCAAAGGAAAGATAGAGGGGCAGATAGAAGTGACAAGAAGATGAGGAAGAAGATGTAAGAAGATGCTGGATGACCTTGGGGACAGAAGAGGATACTGTCATTTGAAGGAGAAAGCTCTAGATCACATTAAATGGAGGAATTGTTTTGGAAGAGACTGTGGACCTGTCGTCTTGACAGATTACTGATGATGATTCTGTTTCGTTTTCATAATTGCAAAATAGATATAATCATATAGTAGGATTATAGATAAATGCATAATTGGAATGTATCTGGAAGGAAGTGTCCATGGCCTAATCGAGATAATACTTCAGCATTTTCCTGGCCGAACTGAGGAAAACCACAAGGAAAACCTCAAACAGGATAGCTGGTATCCTGACCAAGATTTGACCCAAGCATCTCCGGTTAAAAATCTAGGATATTACCACTACAGCATCTTGCCTGGTGATGTTTTTCAGTTTTTCTTAGTTCCTCCAGGCACATACTGTAATAGTACTTCAGAGAAGCCAACACCTGCTTTCTTCCACATTCTTCCCAATTTTATGTACTCAGTCCATGCCTATAACTACTGGTTACATCTGTTTTGTATATTCAGTATTTTACATTCTGGATGTTTCCTTCTCATCAGTGTTACTTGTAGGTCTAATCCATTTTAGAATATTAGCGGAATACCCATTTAAAATTCAACGGGAGAATTTGACAGTTTCCATCTATAGATGTGGTATTAATAGAAAACCCTTCCATTGATCCACTATCTACATTATGGCCCTTAAGGGACACTTTAAAGTCACGATTTCGTTGGATATATGTGCCATGAACCTGTTTTTTTTTTGGCAAAAGTCAGCACTGTAATAGTGACTAAACATTGCCATTTATTGCTTCCATCTCTTGGTTCTGTCATAACAGATTAATTTTGCATTTTGTTTCCATGAAAGCAGCAAATCAACAAACATTACTATTTATAGACTAATTATTTTTCAATATTTTCTTTAAATCTGATTAGAAGTAGTAAAGAAGTAAATGGCATGAACTAGAAGAACTGATCCTGGTAGACTTTATTCATATGGAGTGAAGTTTAGTGCAGTTTTGCCATGATTTCTCAAGAGTAATCAAAGGTGTGTGTTATTTGTTTCATTTCACTGCCTGTCATTTATAGTGATAAATATGCAATTCAGTTAACTTTAATACTGGAACTATTCCTCCACATACATACATACATCTGCGTTTCAGGATATTCATAAATGCAATCTGCACTGAATATGAAACATGTCACAAGCTTTACAAACAACAATACCTCTTTACAATTCCAACATGCCATATCACAATAACAAACAAACATAAATGCAAACAACGTGCATCTAAATAAATACATAAAATACAGATTATATTTACACTTAATGTCTATATTGATGCCTACTGTGGGGCATCCATCAGTCAGCATGCACTCCCCTTCTATTCCTTAGCTGTTGATCCTGACAGAAGAGCAAAAGTTCATCAACAGTATATGACGGATTGTGTAATAGGACATCCCTTATTTCTTTTATAAACTTTTTTATTATGTACTAAATCAGTTAAATAATCTGGCAGACTGTTAAATATTTTTATACTCATGCAATGGACCCTCTTCTGTCTCATTGTGAGATGTGATTGTAGGGCATGTAAATTTCTTTCGTGTCTTGTCGGTTGCTCATAAATTGAATAATTAAAAGTAAAATACTCCAAATTATTTATTATAAAAGTCATCAAAGATAAAGTATATTGAGAGACCAGTGTTAATATATTTAACATGTTTCCATGCTGTGATACTTAATTAATTACTCACAGCTCAACAACAACAACAACTGTATGTTTACTTTATCATTCATTTTGTGTATTTACAAACATTTCTGTTTTATATTAGACAAATAATTTGTTTTTTAATCTTCACTAGAAATAAAAAGAAAATATATAGAATTCAGTTAATGTAAACTTTGTGGAATTCAGGGGCTATGGGTTTTTACTCCACATGTGTTCAACACTGAAAGACTCCATTCCATTATTCAGTTTATCTTGTTTGTTTTAAGAGGCAAGAGTCTCAGGATGGGATCTGTTTACCTTTGCCCAATATTGTTAGGCTTACTTGCATACAGAGTAAGCCCAAGGGAATATCAACAGAAATGCCTGATAAGCTTTCCCTAAAATATACTTAGTTCTTATCATCCCCACCATATACCTGAGTTGAAGGGTATACCTGTATAATGTGTGGTTTGTTTTCAATAGGGAGATTGATCTACTGAATCTAAGGTAAGTTTCTTACTAAACAGAAGCATAACATTGTGATGTATTTATATATTAAACACCTAGTCAACCAGCATAACTTAGTAAAGTGTCCTTACCGCAGGATGGTTGGTGTTTGATGCCTGGCAGAAGAAGGGATATTGCTCAACACCATTAAATCTTAATTGGCTGTAGGGTCCACCAGCCTCCCATTGCCCAACAGGTACTAGAATGGCTTTCCTCGGGGGTAAGGGCATGAAACTGACCACTCATAGCCAATAAATTTGAGAATCTAGAATATATGGCACTGTACTTCAACATCTCTTCACATCCCCTCAGCAGCGCATTTTTACATTTAAAAATCTGAAAGAAATAAGGATAAAACTCTCTGTTTTTATCTAAGTACCACACCATGGAGACATGGGGACATGTTGTTTCAGTAGCACACATTCATAACCTTTAGGACTGATAAAAGAACTGTAATGTAATTGTTACAGCTCATGCATTTATCGTGGTTTTCCTCATAGTGAGATGAGATAGAGGTCAGTGGTCAGCTTCATACCCTGGTCACTTTACACTGAGGTAAATAGCCATATGATAGCAGGTTAAGGGGTCCAAGAGCGAACCTGGATGCAACGGAGAAGAGAAAAATCTCTTACCCTACTGGGATTCGAACTTTGATTACCCAGTCATCCAGTTCATAGCCTAGTCAGTATACTGACTGAGCTTTCCTGGCTCATGTAAATTAAATAGCATGTCACACATGTGAGATATTTGTAGTTATAAAAGCCTTAGCTGTCACAGTAGGTGGGCATTTGATTTGCATTCAAGAGATATTCAATTCAAATGAATACAGGGACTCTTATCCTGATATTGGCTTCTCAGTTTCTCCCTCAATATCTCCAGAAAAATTTCAATGTAGGACCCACCCACCTTGCCTGACAATCCATTATCTTACCACATACTTACTTACTTACTGACATAATGTCAGTAGCTGATACAGCGTTTTAAAAGAGACACACAATAAAGTAAAATGTATTTAAATTTCGACCATCCTGAAACATAATTATTCTAATATTATTTGAGAGTTTCATTGCGTAGAATGCAATTTTTGATCCATCATCAAAGATTTAGGGTCCTGGAGGTCTTTGGGATTTGCATCCGGTGCCAGAGGTATTAGGTTTGAAACCAGCAGGTCTTGTGCATATTTTTCCAACTTCCATCCTCTGTAGTCACCTCAAATATTTTGTGAATTTTGGAGAGAACGGATGGATAGGAGGCCTCCCATTTTTAGCATACTTTCCTTATTTCAAAAAAATGAAAATAGGCTTATAAGACCATCATGCTGTCTGTGTCCGTGAATTCAGCCCCCCCCCATTAACCTTTGAGTTTCTGAATCAGTCTTCATGAAACTTGATGTGAATATCATGGCACCTGAGTCCATCTCAGCAGTATACTTCATAAATCCCTCCCATCAGTCTGTATGTCTGCATATGCATCCCCATATTGTTCATATGCAACGGCTCATTAAAAACGTCACCGTGGCAACAAATACCTCGTATACACGAAACAATAGAAGAATCATTGGATGTGTCGTATGAAAGGAGAGTAGGCTATTAATTCTTCCCAGAACTTCTTGTTTCTTTTTCATGTATGTGGTATGAGAAAGTATTGTAGAAAATGCTTGTCTTGGGAGTTTGATGCGTTTTCATGTTTAACACCCCCCCCCCCCCCCCCCGCCCCCCACCCAAATTTCGTTGTACAAAGCTGTCTGTCTCTTTGTATGTCTGTGTACGACTATCTATGTATGCATGCATATGCACCTCACCAGCGCCTGGGCGGTTGGATGAATTTTATTCATATTCAGTGTGTAAGAATATATCCATGATAGGTCTATGCCCTGTAAATATGAACATTCTAGCTCCAAAATATGGGGCCCTTTCACCTGTAATTTTACAGTTGGTAGTCTAGACATAAGTTGTAGAATATTTTTGGTTCGAGACCAATGCAGTGCAAATTTTCTTGCATGCCTTTTCCTTCCTTCACTTCAGAAAAAGTTAGAATTACTGAATGTGAGGAATACCAGGTCCCACAGAGGTCTGGATCCAGTGTTGGATTGCAGGACTCCCCTTCCAGTGGTCCTTACTGTTATTTTTGATATTAACTTGTCATTGAGAGCGACAGTGAAATCCGACTCACTGCTGCTCCAATCAAGAATATAGATTTCAATTCTTGCCCTAGACAGGCAGATCAAAGCCAAAATGAAGACCTCTATTTCCTGGGACATGATGCCATGCATTCCGATTAATATTCATATACTTTTCAGACGAACGTAGACCATATTCAGTGTCGAAGAGTAAGCCAAGCAAACTGCAAGCCAACTCACCTCATTTGTTGCTGATCTGGCTTACTCCCCAGCCAACAAGATGGTGGCAGTACCTTCCTCCGAAACGTTAGTGATCTTCTAATGGACCACATGAGGTCACATCCCTGAAGACAGTATTTTTCATAGACACTACTGTGAGATCCTTAAATTTAGCACAGAAACCAGAATGGTCAATCACCTCAAGAATAAACTTTTCCATGCAAGAGATCAGGCAGTTGTTTGCCACTTTCTCACCACACAGACCTGGGTATTCCATGAGGGATTAATGGTAGACAAATTAGCACTTGAGGGAAAATTATTCTTTGAGCAGTTGGTTTATCTCCTTCCAATTGCAATTTCCCCAATACTCTGTACTAATCTATCATCAGAGGCTGATGCAGCAGGACCATTTGAGGCTGCAGTCAGAAGGGACTCAGTCTCACTTCATTCTTATCATATTTTCCTGTGTATTATTTATATCACTTCTTTCAACACGTCTAAATTGTTGTAAACTTCTTTTCTCTAACCTGTGTCAGGATAAATAAACTAGCTCTGATTGATTTATAATCTGTTTAATTTACAGGTACCGAAAGCTGTATTCTCTGTGACAAAACATAAGGAAGATTGCTGGCTGTCATACAAAGGGAAACAAAAATGCGTGCCCATATTGACCTGTCTCTGGATGGAGTGTACCGTGCCGTAGTCAGAGGTCTGCAATTTGGGCTGGGAACTGCACTCATATTCTGGCTGCTGGACATTGTATTTTGCCTTTCCTTATTCAGCTTCTGCCCTGCTTTTGTGCTTGGAACTCTTCTGGGAGCTGCATACATATTCTATCAGGACACTCTTAAGGTACTTGTTAAGAATTGTGTCAGTACATAACACAAGATCATTAAATCAGAGGCTCGTTATTTCAACAAAGATAAAGATGTGGTTCTTTTTTTATTTTAAATAGTTTTATAACTACAAAACGTTCTGATTACCGCAACATCTCTAAAAATTCAGTTGTACACAGCCAGATTTTTTGCATTGTATCTTAAATCATTTATGTCCATGTTTGCTATAAGAAGTGTACACTCTGCTTCACACATATACAACAAGATACAACAAATTTCCGTCATCCAAGAAAGAAAGACCACTAGGCTTTTAACTATTAATGTCCGATTTTTAATTAAGACAAACATTCATTTTAAAATTTTTAATTTTGCTCTTCTCAGGAAGGAAAAAAAATACAGTGAAAGAACTTACATCATTTAATTAATATACCTGATGTAGCAGGAGCCGGGATAGTGTAGTTGGTATAGCAACTGGCTACAGGCTGGATGACCAAGGGGTCAGAGTTTGATTCCCTGTAGTATCAAGAATTTTCTCTTATCCACAGCGTCCAGACCAGCTCTGGGGTCCACCCAACCACCTATCCAATAGGTACTGGAGGCACTTTCTCTAGAGGTGCAGCTGCCAGAGTGTGAAGCTTACCACCCGCCTCCAGCTAGTGCCTAGGTCAAGAAAATGTGGATTTATACATCCACTCCCCCATATGCTTTCATGGCGTAGTGCTTAGTTAGTTAAGCACAGGGATGACTTTACCTTACATACTCTGGGGCAGTTCCTACAAGTATTCTTAAATGTCTTAACTTGTAACCAAATTTTTTGGGCTTCCCCCTCCGAAAAAAGAACCTGGCGGCGCCCATGCATGTACTCTGTTATGCTGAGTAGTTATGGGTCTACAGTGTAATATATTATTGTTTTGCAGATTTCTTTGGAAGGGAAAGGGGTGCTTGTGACTGGCTGTGACACTGGTTTTGGACATTCCCTCGCTTTTCAACTTGCTGATCTGGTACAGTAATTGAGTAGATGAATGTATATGCTTAATGAAGTACCTGCAGAAATAATCTTGCAAACTGAATAGCACAGTGAAATTATCTGTAAGTGAAAGTCAGCTGCTCCTCCTATTCAGGTTGACCCCGAACACCTCAGCATGCTTCATAGAAGTGATAGCTAGACAAGTCACTTCAGATAGAAACAGACTATGAAAGTATAGATTGTACATTCAACAAATGCGTTTGACAGAAGGAATTCTAGAAGACATTCTAACAACTGTTATATTCAGTTATTTATAATGCAAGAGAATGAAACTAATGTCAGAAGACAAAGTGACCTGCAATTCTGGAGGTGTCTTATTTTACATAAAATGGATAATTAGGACTACACAATGAACTCTTCTCTTATAATAAACATATATTCACGTTCATTTGTTCATTCCTAGATGAAACTGATCCAGTTTGTTTAGAAGTAATTATTATACACTGAATGAATGAATTATAAGCATTAAGTTTGCAATGTTCACTTTTACTACATAAGCTAAATGAAAATTATATTTATTTTTTGCATCCTCTTGTGTGTAATATAATCAAGGTATTTTGTGATTGTCAAAACAACAATAAACAAAAAGGCTGATCTTATGAGTAAAACTACTCAATACCTGTTTTAGTATGTATAGTGTTTATAGTGTATATACTCAGTAAACACGTTGTAGTATTGGTGTTATTGTTAATTGCTCTGTTGGTGGTCACAAAATATTTTGATTAGATTAAAATTAACTTTCTAAACACTTTCTAGACACTGTGACAGAAACTGTTATTGGTGTTGTGATCCTTAAAACAATTTTGTTTACACCATTGCATAAGATGTTTAGGTTACTGCCAACTAATGGCTATAATGTGAAAATGGTAATCAGAAATTAATTTTCATTTAATGAAAAACAGAACTCAGAAGACAGCTTGTAAAATTTGCCACTCCTAAACTCATGCAGCCCAAGTGGCCACTTGGTTCATTTGTGCTGTCATGCTGTCTCTACTTACAAAAAGAGATGGCTCTATTCTTTTGCCTTTACCATTTGCAGTATCTTCACAAGATAATCATGATTTTGTTAAGATATTTCTATCTGAATAATGATGTCTTATGGGTTGTGACACTGTACAGTCTGGTAGAATTTCATTGATGTTTCAGAGGAACATACTGTCTCCATCTTCACAACCAAAAAATAGTCCAAGCAAGTAGTAAGTAACAAGCAGGTAGCCAAAACACCAGTGAACTTCTACTGGACTGCATGGCATCATATTCCAGAAGGTGGTACTCTTCATAGTCACTTCAAATCCTCGATTTCTACTTATTAAGCATATTTTTCCAGGGTGCAGTGGTGTTTGCAGGATGCCTGACATCACAGGGAGGTGGTGCAGAAAAACTGAAGAGTTACAGGAACATTCATGTTCTACAGCTGGACATAACTTCAGATGAGGAAGTGACAGCAGCACTTAATTATGTTTCTCAGAACCTTCCTGCTCAAGGTGAATACAAAGTAACCACAGAGTTGAGGTTTCCATGGCAGTGTATATTCATATTATGGTCTTCTGTGTTGTGATTGTGTAGTCTGGTAGGAGGTTACAAACTTTTTAGGGGAACATGTAAGTCTGTAAGTTAACTTAATTGAACCATCTGATAGAGCAGCGTATTTTAATTGATATATTAAAGTGTCCACTTCACCCTACATGCTTCAGCAGAATTCTACCATCATTACCCAAGTTATAGCAATAAAATCTGTTTTTTGTCTTTGCCAGGTCTATGGGGAATAGTGAACAATGCTGGTTGGAGTACATTTGGTCATGTGGAATGGGTACCAATCTCTCTCTGTTGCAGGAGCTTAGAAGTTAACATTTGGGGTATGATGAGGATCATCCGAACTTTCCTACCTCTAATCAGGCAGTCAAAAGGTATGTATGTATTTCATAATCACTATAATTCACAAGCCTAACCAGATAACTCCACGGAGTAGATTCCTTCTTGAGAAAGTAATAGTTTCTTAGCCATTCAAGAAATTCATAGCATTTTATAGAACCTGGAAGTTCATTACCAGATTTGCAAGAACCCACCACTCATCTCTAACCTGAGCCACATAAATCCAGTCCACACCCTCCCATGCTGTTTCTTTAAATTCTAGTTTAATATTATCCTTAAGCCTAGTGAAATTGAAATCTACATTCATAAGTACAAAAACCCATGGCTTACCATTCTGTCACTAGGTGGCAGAGTTATTAGTAGTTATGGACAAGACTACCAGGTGGCATGCGAGGTATCTATGCTTCAGCCAGCATATCAATACTGACATTTGCCAGAAACAGATTTCCATTGCCGACAATCAGTGATTTTGTGATTTGATGTCTAAGAGTGGATCAGGGATCTGCAGAAACTGTACCTAGGGATACAAAATGTTTATCTCAGAATTTTCAAATAATTCTTTCATCCGAGACCATTTATGATAATATGAGGCTGCATATTAATGAAATATATATGGGGAAGTGGAGAAATCTGTGGTAAAATTGAAACAATATTTGCTAATGAAATAACAGTGCCTTCCTGTATTCTTCTTGCTTGTATATATTGCTTGGCTTGTTCTTTAAAGGACACAGGACATGCCTTATAAATCCCCACCAGACTACACAGCATTACTTGCAAGAAGATGGTACACTTTATAGTCATCGCCATGAGAACATAACATAACATAACATAACATTAAGATTATTTTTCTCTGGCATGTGACAACATGTAATCTGGTAAATTGATTTTGGATTAACCTACTACTGAAGATTGCAGGAGCCAGGTTAGTGTAGTCAGTAGCGACTGGCTATGGACTGGATGATTGAGGGGTCGGAGTTCGAGTCCCTGTAGGGTCTCGAATTCTCTCTTCTCTAAATCATCCAGACTGCCTCTGGGGTCCACCCAACCTCCTATCCAATGCGTACTGGGGGCTTTTTCCCTGGGGGTAAAGCAGCCGGTGCGTGAAGCTGACCACTCACCTCCAGCTAGTGTTGAGGTCAAGAAAATGTGGATCTATACATCCACTCTCCCATACACCTTCATGATGTAATACTTAACTCGTTGAGCACAGGGACAACTTTACCTTTACTGAAGATTGAGGTAGCATGTTGCTCAGAGATGTTGATGATGATCTACCAAACTACATAGCAGAACATACCAGAAGACAGCAAGAGTCATATTAAGAGTTGTAGTAGACAAACATTATAGATATTAATGAGGTAAACTTTTAGTCATACATATAGTTTTTGCACAATGATGCGTTATTGAAAAATGTATTAAAATGCCCATGAATATTTCCATTCACACACATATTCCAAACACAAGTGAGCTTTGAGAAAGTCTCATCAATCAAATACAGAACTTGATGTGAACTTCACTATATATCATAAAGAAAATCATATGATGACACACATCTCAATTTACACCCCATTATAGTATAAATAAAGAAGTAGCATGTACCGTCGCACAGTGCAAGAGACCCATAACATTACAACCTGGTCCCCAACTACATCATAGCCACAATGCCATAAAAGACTCAAAGACAGGGATAGCCAGTATACTGTTAGAATTGTCAACTAGGCATTCATAACCACCTCAAACTCTTTACAATTTAATACAAATCCATAAACACTGTTTGTAATACTAAAATTCTTTTAACTTTAATTTTAAATTTTAAACTTAAAATTTAATTTAATTTTATACTAATATAGATTAAAGCCAAAGAGTAAACAAACCAGAGGTTTATTACTAAACAATAATCACATAACCTTATAGTCAAATATGAAGAAAATATGAATTCATATTTGAACAAAAATTCAGCATCTAAGTAAACTAAGATACAACTTATGATGACGCAATAAGGGTCAAAGCACGTTGTAAATAATGCATGTAAATAACCATTGTTATTACTCATACTTGAATTATTGCGTTGACGGTTACAAATACACTGTCTGGAATGACACTCGATAGGATGCAACACACAAAGATTTTAATTATTGTCGCTGCTATTGGATATAATTTAAAGGACCACAATAATTTATACTTCTATGAAATTATTGTATTGTGGGGTGTGACACTATATAATGTGATATATTTTTAATAATGTTCCTCTAAAGATCTGTCAGACTACATGGCATCATATTATTGAATACAGTCAGCTTCATAGTCACCACTGTGAGAATCTCAGTCCTCACTTGTACTACAATGATTATGTCAGCTGGAAAAACGTATGTCACATCATGTATTATTTGCAGGAAGGATCGTGAACATGTCTAGTGGCATGGGGCGTCGCTGTGCTCCGAGCAGGGCAAGCTACTGTATCACGAAGTATGGGGTGGAGGCACTGTCAGACTGCTTGCGCTTTGAGATGAGGCAATGGGATGTCAATGTCATCATTGTTGAGCCTGGAAATTTCATTAATGGTATTCAAACCCTAATTTCACATAGAATACTGAATGTAGTGAATGTAAAGGTAAAATTTACATGTGTTTTAATTAAGCACCACACCATGAAGTGATGTGAGCAGAGGTATAAATTGCACAGATTCTTGACTTCAGTATTAAATGAAGTTTCTTGCCCAAGCTGTCTTACCCCTGGGAAAAGAATCCTGGTGCCTCTTATATAGGAGGCCGCTTGGGTACCACAGCTAGCTCCGATACTTTGAAGAAGAGGAAACCCCTGTTAGGAATTGAACCCAAGTTCCTTGGTTTTCTCGCATATACTACGTGTTTATGTAGTTGGAGGAACCTCATTCCTTCATATCCTGAAGATGGATTCAGCAAGCTTCTATGACACTACACAGTGTCACCTAGAATACCACAATCTTAATTTTCATCACTGTGAAAACCTCACTGTAGAGAAATGCAATTATAATTAATTATGATTATACATTATTATTATTATTAATTATGATATAATTATACACCAAATAGTCTGGTGGAGGTTTACTAGCATTTCAAAGGAACAAGCTTCTTGATTTTCAAGGTAGAAGAGTGAAGACGGAAGCTGTACATTCCTCTTAAACATTACTAAATTTCTACCAGAATACATGGCATCACATTTCAGAAAACAGTATTCTTCACAGTCACGTCCATGAGAATCCCAATAAGTTTAATTCTGAAGAAAGTCGTCTTCTGGGTTTAGGCACCGTGTATTCTTCGTTTTGGCCGACGTGTGTGTACACAGCTACTGCTCTACGCATTCCAAGCCATTCAACTGCTTTGAAGATGAAGGCGCTACGTTCCTCCGAAACGTTGGCCAAAACGAAGAATACACGGTGCCTAAACCCAGAAGACGACTTTCTTCATTGTCATCGCCGTGAAAACCTCAAAACTTACAAAGTTTAATTCTGTTAGTCAATATCTATACCATTTTTAAGTTAGGATATGATCCCCTGTATGTTGAAAATCTGCTTTTCTGTAACAGCTACAGGTATATTTACTCCGAGCTCAGTCCGCAGGGATGCTGAAGCCCTCTGGAAGCAGATACCTGAATCAGTCCAGGTGGCCTACACAAAGGAATACTTTGATGGTTTCACTAATAACATGATCAAGTACTCAACATCTGGGGTAAGATACAATTGCTTCTTGAATAATTTGGACTAAAGAAAACACGTGAAAGAATTTAATGTATACTTTCCATGACAGCACATCCTGATGAGGTCATTGGATTTTTCAATTGACCTAATCCTTCCAGCCGCACTATGGCCCTGGGGTCAACTAAGCCTCTAACAGAAATGAATACCATGAATCTTCCTGGGGAGTTAAAGGTGGCTGGCATGTAAGGCTGACCTCACCACCATCTGTTAGGTGACTGTCTAGAAAATGTGGGGGCCTCGACATCTCACCATCCTATGGGCCTCCATCGCCTGTTACAGGGATAGCTTTACTTTTTTTTTGTTTTTTTCCTTCTTCCATGACAGCACAGCCCATAAGGCAGCAACATTTTCCCATTCTAACTCTGACAGTTATGTTGCCTTTGTACATATTACGTCTAACCACCATCTGAAATGCAAAATTTATTTTTGTCTTTTGTATATCATATTGCATCATATTTCAGCCTTGCTCAGCTATCATCAGGTGTTGATATGCTTGCTAAAATGTTTGCGCTATCATCTTAGTATGCCACATGTGAATGTGTTGTAATCTTTAATTTTAAAATCATTAATATCTTCAACGGTTCATAAAATTGCTGATTGAGCCACACTGCATCTGATTGTCAGGTTTGGGTGTTCTGTCCATACGTCATGAGGTTTCCTAGGCAATTACACAAAATAGATCAAATGCACCAGACTTGTTGCATTACCCATACATTTCCTAACTTGTTTGTGTAATGTTCATCCCAGTGCCTTTTGAGACAGATGACAGGAGATTCTTTCCTTTCTTTTTTATTATCATTCAACAATCCATACATATAGGTATATATATATATATAAACACCTATATGCAGCAGCTCAGGCTATATAAGCCCTTTGTCTGATATTGTTATGGTGAAAAGATAAAAGTAAAGTTGTCCCTGTGCTTAAATAATTAAGCCCTACACCATGAAGGCATATGGGGGAGTGGATGTATAGATCAAGATTTTCTTGAACTGGGCACTAGTTGGTATTAGTATTAGTATTAGTATTTATTCAGTATTCCAGACATCCACAAGATGGATACAGAATTTGTCCTCACTCAGTACATACAGACCAATTACAAAAGTTGTTTACATGGACCATTACAACAGTATAAAATAAAAATAGTTAAGGCCTTGGATTACATAAATAAAGAGTCAAAAACATGTCATTTAAGAACAGTCATATTAAATAAGAAATCCGCAATAAACAAATAATTATGAGTTACAAATAGTAAATAAATCCTTCAGATTACTAAAAATAAGATTAATTGGCAATGCACAGGTAGAACTCATAATTATAACGAAGCAGGCATTATAAAATGAGTTTACAATGAACAAAAAAATCATAAATTACAAATATAATACACAAATTAGCCATAAAATTTACATTCAGATATGTTTATTATAACTACTCACATTATTGATCAAAGTACTCTTCTAATGAGTAGAATGAATTCGTGTATAAAAATTTTTTAAAGTGGTTTGGAATTTAACTAAGTTTCCATTAACATTCTTAATATGAGAGTGTAATTGCAGGTGGGTGGTCAACTTCACACCCCAGCTGCATTACTCCCAGAGAAAGAGCCCACAATACCCATTGGATAGGAGACTGGGTGGGCCCCATAGCCAGTCTAGATGCTGTGGAGAAGATAAAAATCTTGACCCTATCAGGACTCAAACTCTGACTCCTTACCCAGTTGCTATACTGACTGTGCCATCCTGGCTCCTAATATTGTTATGATAAATATGAATGGAATGAAATATGCAGAACATGTAGCAAGTATGAAGGAAAAGAAAAATGGTTACATAATATATGTTAGAACAAGCAACAGTGTAAATAAAATTGGTTTAACAATTGAGATAACAATAGCAGTCTTCATCGCAGTGTCTGAAAATGTCATACTAGTACTAATAATTGTGAGAGAAAAAGTTAATCTGGGATGGGTAGGTGGCAAACTTCTCATCGCCTGACGTGGCATTTAGGTTTACACTGACCGTGTCTGGTCATGTCCAGAAGCACACTTTACTATTTGCTGTTTTAACCTTCAGGTTTAATTTTAGTTAGTTAGTGTGTGGCCATGATTCAGCTAGCTCAGATGATGATTCAGTGATCTTCTGTGAATATCGTTACATGACCTTGCAAGTTATAGAAAATAAGGACATTTTTTAACAGATAAATAACTATGAAGTTTCCAAGATGTACTTGATCCATGTTAAGGCTCTTTATTTTTTTATTTATGGTTTATTTAACGACACTGTCAGTAACTCAGACTACATAGTGTTGAATAGTTGGGTGAGCAATGAACAGTGAATTGGAAAGGAGGTGTGAAGAAAATGGCCATGACCTGTTTCAAGGTACTATCCTGGCATTTGCCTAGAGGGACTCTAGAAAACCACAAAACCTGAGTCGGGATAGTTTGTGTTCTACCCAAGATTCAAATCAGGCACCTCCTGGTTACAAGTTAGACATGTCACCTCAGCAGCCAATCTGATTAACATTAAGGCTTTCTTTCAATGAACTGCAAACAATTATCTGTGTGGTCTTTTGTCTGTTACATACTAGACGATGGATGAAGTCCAAAATAAGCCAAAAGAAGTACAATTACCAGTGTGTTTCTTGTTACCTAATAATGTTGCAGTCAACAGACAAGCAGCCTGTGCTGGACGCCTTGATTAATGCTCTTGTGCATCAGTACCCGCATCCCCGCTACCAGCCCATGGAGCTGTACTTCAAATTGTCTGTCTGGGTTAACACTCATCTGCCAGAATGGGTGTTTGAAACCCTATTCACATAAGAATCTACATGGATTACCCATTTTGTTCTTGTACATGGAATCTCCTTAATTGTCTTTCGTAATGCAGTCAGATGTAGATTTTAGGGTAAGTGATCCACAACATAGTGACAAGTATTGTACCTGTGACCTGTACTGAGGGCACAGAATAAAGAACCCAGGATTGAATTCCTCCATGTCTCCTTGAGCTGCTATGCTTTCACCTCCAGTGAATTTCCCTACATTCTCCTCCAGTCATCTAACCAATACTTCACATATGCTGCTACTGATAACCTTGTCTAGTGACAGACACTTTGGGCTTAATGGCATATACTGGAGGATGATACAACAGTAGACACAAGAAGAAGTCTTAAGCACTGTCATCCCTACCATGTATGAGACTTCTGTCCATGGCCTAAGTACAGGTTCAGAACTCACCACAAGTAAATTGTAAGGACATGTTCCAAAATAACTTTGCACATTTAATTTCTTTTAGAACATACTGGAGAGTTCTTGCACATTACGGACCCTCACATGTAACTGTAAGAATATAATCACCTTCAGTCAACATAATTCTAATAGTGTAGCACAGAATACATTCTTATTAAAAGCTTTTGATAAATGATTAAATTATGAACTGTCTTCAGCACCATCTTATATGAGAAATGTAATAATATCTGACAACTATGGTATATTCAGGGTATGATGGAGCAGACATAAACAAACAACAGCCAGGAAATGATATTGAGTTTGACCAAGGAAGTAACTTTGAGAGCAATTCATGTCGTGATGTTACTTGGAAACAAATTGGACATTTAATGGGACTTGTGTAGGCCAACATTGATTGTGAACTAGAAGTCACTGTCCTTGCCCATGTTTATTTCCACTCTGTACACATCCTGAAGAGATGAGACTGTAGACTGCTTTTAATATTGGAAGGACTACATCAATACAGCTAGGAGAGTTTCGTTCTCTACCTTGTTTCCTATGGTGGTAAGCGATATTATTTTTAATACCAAAATATGTACATGATCTGAGTTCAGACTAGCATTAACAAGGTTTGTTTCTGTATCTAATAATTTATAACATCTTTTTTTTTTTTTTACTGCTAGTGGGGTGGGACTAAGTCCCTTGTACTGTGGCCACTTCTGGCCTAGTGTACCAGCCCCAGATGATGGGTGAGGGTGATTGTGGAGCAATTGGTGGAATGAAGATTGGCAGGGGAAACCGAAGTACTCGGAGAAAACGTGCCCCAGCGCCACTTTGTCCACCACAAATCCCACTTGACCAGGCCCATGATTGAACCCAGGCTGCCGCGGGGGGAAGCCAGTGACTAACTGCTTGAGCTATGGCGTGGCCCTTATAACATCTTACTATGAAAGTAGATCTGTGACATAACATTGATGTTTGTAAATGCGTACTTTATTCATTAATTAAGCATAACTAAACAAGTCAATATCAGGACCCTGCTTGTGACAGTATTTTGTGGATCTGTGGGATCGATGTAGCTGCATTCATATCATTCAGCACATTCCCACCATCTGATGGGCTGTGTGCATGCTTACTGATGTTCTCTCTTCCTCCTCCTCTGACATGTATTCATGTATTACCAATTTTATAAGACTGCATCTGGTTTGTGTTTACGTCATAAGATTAATCATCACATGGAATTATATTAAAAAACCTTCTTGCTTATGTCACCTGATTATAATTGTTTATGGTTCAAACACAGAGTGTATAATCAAAAAAAAAAAAAGAGCTGTTTTTATGGAAGTTAGTGTGATAGTTAAGCATATGACAGTGTTACCAACTGCCACCTCCACAGTGTTTAATTGAAAAGCAAGAATTTTTCCTCTAACCCACAGAGGAACATGTCAGACAAGCTGATACAAATTCTGAACAACTGAATAAAGCTGGATTCAATTATGTATTCCAAGTGTGGCAGAGAACTTCTGATTATCTAATGGTTGGGGACTTCAAACATCTGATGGTGAACCACATTATGATATTTATGTTTAAGGAAACAGAACAGCATACCTACACCACAGAAGGGATAGATAGCAGTTAGGATATATGCTACAATTTTTATATAAAAATGCAGATTTCTAGAAAGAGCTAAAGTGAGGTTGCCCCTGTGCTTAGTTAAGCACCATGCCATGAAGATATATAGTGGAATGAAGGTATAACTCCACCTATTCTTAACCTGAACACTATACACAGGTGACTGGTCAGCTTCAAGCCCTGGCTAAATTTTCCTTTGGGCTAATTTCCAGCTTTATGAATTTATGTACAGAACAAGAATAATCAGTTACAGTTTATTTTCATTTATGTTAATGATTATGAAGAAAGATATCATTGTATGCAACATTAGTGTGTCACTTTATGTTTGGGATAGGTTAGATTTGATTATGTTATTATTAGTTACCCTAAAACCATAATATGACTTGGTAAGACCATGGTTGTAGACTGTGGAACTATCAGGGTGGGGACACTGGTTGGAAAGAGAAGAAAGCCATAACCATTTTTCTAACCGCCCCTTAACTTCATAATTTGATTGCAGTGATTAAGATACACCAAACTTGTAGTTACATTCATTTATATAAAAATGTAACTCAATTCCCAATTAATATTGACATTATGTCTCATTTTAAATTACAACATCATAGACTGTTTTACTGTATATTTGGTCTCCCCTCAACATTTGAAGTTTGCAATTGTATTTTGTTTGCTTCAGCTTGGTCCTAGTGCATGTCTAGCATCCCACCTTGATGTTTTATTAGCCATTACATTTAGTGCAAAATTAATACGTTTTCTCAAAAGTTATCTTCATTAAAAGGTGCTATCTTTCCCTATTGCTCTGTCATATAGAACTGAAATGTAAGTTTACTAAATAAAATAAAATCTGATTCATGCATATTTTTATTTAAAAATGTACATAACTTGACACTTTCATAAGAACAAAGGGCACAAAAAAATGTCAATTATTACTTGTCTGAAGACAACATGAAAAATGTGCAGAACTCAAAACAGTTATCTGTCCTGGATCTAGTCCATTAGACAATGAACGCTTCTTTCCCAGGTGAAGGTGCAACACCTCTAGTATCATTAGTCGCAGAGAGTAGATGCGATTTTCTTTGGGTATGACATTCAAGATGGGGAGAAGACATCTTATAATAATCAACTGGTAATGCCTACAATGTGAATGACTCTGAGCTTTTGGAGTTCTTTGTTGTAACCAAAAACAGAGTTCATCTTTCAATCTAATACTTCGCATCTTAGGCATATTTTACAATGTTGTACAAAAATACAAGTGTCTGTTAGAGTATGGAAAAGCTTTGTTCTGCAGATTTTATACTGGAAAGCAGGTACTGAAATTCATAAGGATAAAGGTAAAAGGTAAAGCCATCCCTCTGTCAGGCCATGAAGGTCCATAGGGCTGTAAGACATTGAGGCTCCTACAATTTCTCTAGACAGTCAGCTCACAGATGGTTGTAGGGTTGTCAGAACAACGTGCCAGCCTCCCTTTATTCGCAAGGAAGATTCCTGGTACTCATTTCTGTTAGTGGCTGAGTTGACCCAAGGGCCATAGTGTGGCTGGAAGGTTTAGGTAAATTGCAAAATCTGATGACCTCCTCAGGACTCGAACCCATTACCTCCTGGCTTGTAGCATAGTGCCTCAACCAACTACACTACCGCATTCCCCCAGTTCATATGGATACATGCCACAATTTGTATAACACCTGGCTTCTGTCCAGTTTTGATACATCACTGTATCAGTGGAACAGAGCTCCTCCCATATGGAAGCCTGTTTGCAAATTTCTGCAATATTCTTTTTCTTCCTTTTTCAGATAGGTTGCTTTCATGTTTATCAATAATTGTCATTTTCTGTCACCTGTTTCCATGAGAGCTTTTGTGGTATGTTAATACCGGGGCTATCATCAGGCTGAAGAGTGTCATGGTAATTTCTAGTGATACAAAGTTGAAATACCTAATGTCATGAGTTGCTCCGGCTGCAACTGTTGCTCTCTACGTTACATGCACCCTACAAGCTATTCCCGAGGACTGGCGATGAACTTCCCAGTACATAAAAAACATCACTATTTGTAAAATCTTCCCTTATGTTACATTATCATTCATGGAGATTCTATTTCCTTTCTTAAAACCATTTTTGCTGTTTTGTCTTTCCTCATTTTGAAATAGTTTTCTTTTGCCCATTGAATGATTACGTTGAAGGCCTCCACTTACATATTATTTGCTCTACTACAGTGTGTCTGCATACATGTGAGCTATGGCTAATTTGTTACAGTTCACTGCTGCTGCTATACTGAACAGCAGGGGCTGAGCAGTCGGCATGCAGGCTGCTGTTTATCTAGAAAAAAGTATTTTATGCACTGACATTATTTATTCTGATTTTCTTTACATAAGGATATTTATCATCCTGTAGGGAGCCGGGATAGCATAGTCAGTACAGCGACTGGCTATGGGTTGGACAACCAAGGGGTCAGAGTTCGAGTCCCTGTAAGTTCAAGAATTTTCACTTCTACATGTCGTCCAGATCAGCTCTGAGGTCCACCCAACCTCCTACACAATGGGTACTGGCAGCCCTTTCCCGGGGGTAAAGCGACCGGGGCGTGAAGCTGAGCACTTTAGTGAAACTAGTGCAGAGGTCAAGAAAATGTGGATCTATACATCCACTCCCACATACATCTTCATGGCATGGTGCTTAATTAGGTAGGCACAGGGAAAACTTTACCTTTACCTTACCATCCCATACACTGTACTGTTCAGACTTAATGCCCCAATTTTCCTGTGTGTGTTCATCTAATTAAACAGTCAAATGCTCTACTGTAATTGACGAAAGCACAGCAAAATTTTCGTTTTAAAAGTGCAAGGAATCTTTCACATCGTTGAGTAAAGTATGAAAGTTGTAAATGCCTCTTCTGTATCCAAATTGTTGGTCTGGTATGCGCGGGCGCTTTGACTGCTTCCAGTAAGCCTCTTTCGTGAACAGCTTCGGGAAAATTGTGATATTATTTTCGAGCATTTTTATTTTCCTAAAGGAGCATGGCGAACTTTTATTTCCTTTACCGTACGTAGGATTTTGATCATGTATCCATTAGCACGACAATATTAATACTGTATTATAACTGTATTAACTTTTCAAGCAAAACTATTATTATACAGATATTACGTATTTGTACTTGACTTGTTCCATATTCTACGGTGTCAACCAGTACTTGAATTTATGGAACGTATATAAATTCAAATTCAGATTCATCGAGTCCCTCCGAGACTGCGGTACCTACGGCCTCTTCATGTATTCGGTTTTCGAGCGCCACAGAATGCCTCCCAAAGTAACCCCCCGCCCTGCTAGGTTCAAACTTTTCGAACAATTTCCATCCCTACGACTATTTGCCGTGAGAACGGCCGGAAGTCGTGGAATAAATTTAAAACACGACTTATAAATATCCCTACTGCAGCTTTCACATGAATTAATTATGTTGGTGCCATTGGTCGAAGACGTATGACCTATTCCACTGAACAAGAGGAACTTACCAGAACAAGGACCGTACATGAGACAGAATGCTGAAGCCCAAGTTCTGCTGTGGGAAAAATTCGCCGAAAATCAAATCTATGTATCGGCATATAAAATATCGCCCCTTTCCAAGCACTTTCAGGTACGTGTTTAATTCTGATTTTTTTACCTTAAATATATTTAGATTTGTGACCATTCTTGTGTAATGGGATGACCAGATTTTAGATTAAAAGGGTTCTGGTATTCAGTTTATTAACCCCCACAGATCTGTTATAGTAGTAACTGGAGAAGAAAGATATGTCCATAGCCCATTTAATGGTAACAATATGATATTTATATTTGTTCAAACTAACACGAAACTGCAAACATTTTCTGTCAATATCATGGAATAATTAAGGAACTCAATATTAGCTAAACTGTACTGTTTGTTCATGACCCTTCACATAATAAAAACACCAATCCAAATAATTAAAAATCTGAACTTAACTAAACAGCTTCATTTGTGTTATGATGTAGCACATGATGATCAGACTGCCCAGTCCACATAACAACTTGTCACTACTAAGCTATCCCATCTCATAAGAGGAGAAGTCTTTATTAATAACGTAATTATGGATGTAAATACATCTCCTGTTTTGTGCTTTGTTGTCAGGGTATATTTCTATAACTACATTGTATGCTCTACATCCTACCCTATACACTCCATTTTGTTAATACATGTAGCAAAGACTCTCAGATATGGAGAAACTGAAAAATTATGATGGCTGCTGAAATTTTTAAGAAACTCAGTAGTTCTCCTTAGTTTGTTGGAACACAGAAACTATTCATATTGGATTTATTACTTGGAAATGCTTAGACAACTTACTGAATAGTAATAAATTAACCAGCTGATGACCAAAACTGTGCCACAATTTTACAATCATTATCACTTTATTTCCATAACTTATGATTGCTCAAAACAGAAGATGTACCCACCAATGAAATGACTATTCTGTTGTGTACAACTGCTTCATGGGAGCTGAGATAGCTCAGTTAGTATAATGACTAGGCTATGCAGAATTGGGGTTTGGTTCCTGGCAGGGGCAGAGATTTTTCCCTGATTCTAGAGTCCACCTAACCTATTCAATGGGTAGTGGGGACTCTTCCTCGAGGTTCAAAATGGCTGAGGCATGAAGCTACCCACCTACAACTTTCTAGTGCTAAGGTTAAGAATATATGAAGCTACATGTTCATTCTCCCATGTCTTCATGGTATTTAATTATAAATTGTTCGGCAGGGCATGGGCTCTGAGAGGCGCAAGAGGGTAACAGTGGTGTCTGCCATAGGTAGTGGCACACAAAGAGGAAGAGCTTTCTCTGCACTACTAAACAGAAAAACTAAAGTACACATTGAATTATATTGAGTGACTGGTGAACATTTTACAAATCTTCTATTCCATTGAAAGCTATGGGACATCTCAAGGTCACAGTTCCTGCCCCACTGAACCTACTTGTAAGTACAAGAACAGCTTTACGTTTTATCTTTCACATCTGCTTTATGAACCTCTGCAGCNAGCGTGGCCTTAGAATAAGCTTTACGTTTTATCTTTCACATCTGCTTTATGAACCTCTGCAGCAGCAGCAAATTATGTCATACTGTATTTACATACAAAATAAGGTGACTGTGTAAAGGATTATTATGGGAGGTTGGATTTGAAGTCATCTAAGGTGGTGAAACAGTATAATTTTCTAGGCTGTTGTGCTGTGTAGTTCAGAAGAAGTCCACCAATGTTCAGAGAAACATATTTCATAATTTCTCCTTTGTCTATAATGACCTGGTGTGGTTTTCTCAAAGTCAAATAGAATAAAGTATAATTTGGCTTATTAACTAAACAGACTTAACATAGTGTTGCAATTGGATGGCTGGCACTCCCACTTAGTATTCAGGAGATCGTGAGATGACACCCTGGTCTGCAGATGGGCTACCCCGACTGAAGTTTACAGCCCCTGCAACCAAGTAGATTCTAAAGGGTTCTGATTATGGTGTATAAAACCCTACATCCAAATGCCATAAATTGGGCCATGAATTTCTAATTCTTGCTGACCATTCTCTCATTTGGTACGATATGTTCTGAGTATTTGAAAGCACAAATAAATAAACAAACCATAGATTGTAATTAAATATGTTGTCCTGATAGAACACATTAGAAATATGAAACTATATTATATATTTATTTAAGGATCATTTATCAACTGCTTGATTATGTAGGGTTGACAGTATGTGGTAAGTGAATGATGTAATTAAAGGAATGTTAAAAGAGGTAGTTGTGGCCAGTCTTAAAGCACCATTCTGCTATTTGCCTGGAATGACTAAGGAAAAAAAAACTCCTTTGGGATAGAGTATTGGGTTAAGTTCCTGAACAAGGAATATCCTAATTATGAAGTAAGAATGCTAATTACGTAAACAAAATAACAAAATTGCCATACGATCATACTCACTCACTCATGGAACTGAGCCCTTCTTGAGAAGCCGAGAGTGGTGCAGCTACTCAAGAACTTCCCAGCATTTTACGGAACCCAAAGGTTTATTACTGTGTTCACAAGAGCCTTCTACCGGTCCCTGTCTGGAGCCAGATCAATCCAATCCATCCCATCCTATTATTCTGAGATCCATTTTAATATTGTCCACCCACCTACTCCTTGGTCTTCCTAATGGTCTCTTTCCATCTGGCTTTCCCACCAATATCATGCATGCATCCCTCTTCTTCCCCATTCATGCTACATGCCCTGCCCATCTCATCCTCCTTGACTTGATCATTCTAATTACACTTGGAGAAGAGTACAAGTTATGAAGCTCCTTATGCAATTTTCTCCAACCTCCTGTCACTTCATCCCTCTTCGGTTCAATGTGAACATTAATTTTAAAATTTTAAGTTGCACTGATGGTCCCCACTATAATAAAATGTGGCTTTACTGATAATTTAAAGCAAACATTAGCTGAAACAATCAAATTATGAAATATGCATTGATATGGTGTAATAACATGATTCAGGCCATGACTGGAAGCAATGAACTAATGCACTGTAGCAAATTCTGTGCCTCTCCTATGGTGGCATGCTTGAGTTTCTGGAAGAGTGCCATCACTGTTTTCTGAAGAATCAAGGGGTCGGTGTTTGAGTCTCACTATGAGCAAGAATTTTCTCTTCCCCATGTCATCCAGAGTAGTTTTGGGGCCCACCCAGGCTCCTATCCAATGGGTACCAGTGGTTCGTTATCCGAGGGTAAAGCGGTCGGGGTGTGAAGCTGACCACTCACCTCAAACTAGTGCAGAGGTCAAGAAAACATGGAACTATACATCCACTATGCCATATGCTTTCATGGTGTAGTGCTTAATTAGGTAAGCACAGTGACAACTTTACCTTTACGTTTTAATACAGAAAAATTGAAGCGTGATCTACACAGTTTATATGACTTTCATTCAAACCTGCAGAGCTACTCATTTCTTACCACTCAAAAAATTTCTTTTCCATCACTTGGTACATTTGATATATCAAATTCTATAACTACTGTCACCAAGCTAAACAATTTTCCTGGGGAGTAAAGTGCAGCCGGTGCATGAGGCTGACAACCTCACTGCCATCTTTCAGCCGATTATCTAGATAATGTGGGACCCTCAACGTTTCACAACCCTATGGGTCTTCATGGCCTGTTACAGGGATAGCTTTACTTTACTTATTGTCACCAAGCAGGTTGATGTAGCTGTAACATTCTGCAGATTCATGTTTAGGAGCTGCTTTGTTCAACTCTCGGTTGGGACACTGGGTATACTAATTGAGGATTTCCTCAATCCCACCAGACAAATTTCAACACAGTGCCTTATTTAGGCTACAACCTTTTTCTTCAAAGTTTATTTCAATTCATTATTTACAAGTCATCCTATCATTTTATATTATATAATCTGAGATAATGGCAGTGGACGAAAACAAATAAAACAGTATCAGATTTGTCTTGGTTAGTGTGAACTAAGTATGCAGTGGGTCTGTCAAGTTATTATCCTGCAAAATATATAACGTTACAGCTTATAGAGATTATACATCTGAGGCCACGTTTTTCTTTTTATGGACAATATAATGCTTCTTAAGGTGGTCTTTCCTTGCAAAACCCTTGGAACAATATTCACATGCATGAGGCCATTTACCAGTATGAAAAACAGCATGCTCTTTCAATCGAGAATGTGTTGAAAATGTCTTTGGGCATTCCTGACATTGAAATGGCTTGTAGTCTGTATGCGATGCCAAGTGAATTTTGAGATGGGCTTTCTGGATAAAACTCTTACTACATAATGTACACTGATGTGGCTTGTATCCTGTATGTGTATACAAATGTCTCTTCATAGTATCATGACGAGTAAATGTCTTGTTACAAAGTTCACATGAGTATGGTCGCTGGCCACTGTGACACAAAAGATGAGACCGACAACTATCGGGACGACTGAATTTCATTCCACAGTGTTTACAAGGGTATGGTTTTTCACCTGAATGTGTATTTAGATGTGCAGCAAGTTTATTTTTCTGTGTAAAACAGAGACCACAAATTTCACAGCAGTAAGGTCTGGGATAATCTCTCTTCTTTGGTTCTTCTGGTAAGATCACACCTCTAGGAGTAGTATTTTCATAATATTCAGTGTCGTTTTCTATCTCTTGTTCTTCTGTCAATACACTGAAATCTGCAGGGCTGTTTTCATTAACTTCACGTGTTATTTCTTCCTTAATTTCATTTATTTTGCAGTAACAGTCACCTGGCCACAAGCTGGTTTCAGTGTCATCATTATGCAGCCTGAAAAAATAGGTGAAGTTTGAACATAACACATTGCAGTGCTTACTTTCCTATGCTTTCACATGTTTGTAATTTAAACCCCCCACTCCTGAAATATGTTATAAGCGCATATGTGTATAAAGTTTTCATACAAAATTTGTGAGCACTATGACAAGTGACATTAGTGTCAGTCACACCTTAGAAATCTACACAGCCATGTTGGATTACTGATGGTAATGCCATAATCATATTTCTTTATAACTAGTCAACTTCTTAGAACGCCTCTGTGGTCTAGTGATCAGAGTTCCTGGGTTCGATTCCCAGTGCTACCAGATTTTCTGAGAAGTAATGGGACTGGAATGGGGTCCGCTCAGCCACGTGAGGATAATTGAGGCGCTACTTGAATGGAAAAGTAGCGGCTCCAGTCTAGAAAACCGAAATTAACGGCCGTGGGGATTCGTTTCACTGACCATGTGACACCCTCTATCCGCTAAAGTTGGCACTAACTTTGCCGACAAGCAGTGGTCGCTCGATCGGAATAGTTCACGTGCCTACTAAAGCCATGGAGTTAAATGTAAACTTCTTGAAAAATGATTAAAGGCCCATAAGGGCATGATCAACCATTCATCTGTTCTTATGAAATAAGACAGCCAACCTTCAGAATTAAGTTTTTAGTAATGTCAAATTCTTCTGAGTGAAGTAATTACTGGGTCACACGGAACATTATTAGTCTGTTTTTTTTTTTTTTGTATTTCTATGACAAAGCCATTTGTCAGTTAACCCTCTTATTACACATATTTGTTTAAAATAATATCTAACCTGTCACTGGTGTCCACATGATTGCTACATTCTTCATATTTATTTTCTTCTTTTACCTCTACAAACATACACACTTCATGTTGACAATTCCATATGTCTTCCTGCAACAAATTATGTACAATCAAATGAAATACATAAAAGTACATGTACCTGGCTAATAAAATATGTTTCCTTTCCAAAATAATATGTCAGAATTTAATATATACAGGAAAAGTTACAATGGGTGACTCTGATCATGGGTTCCTTAAAGAAACGAAGTTACATTGGACAGTTCTGATCATGTGTACCTTAGAGATGAAAAACTGTTGGATATTCTGTTTGTGGATACCTTACAGAAGAAAAGTTACATTGGATGTTTATGATTGTGGGTACTTTACAAATGAAAATTACACTGGATGTTTCTGGTCATTGTTACCTTACAGAAAGACCGCCTCTGTGGTCCAGAGGTCCGGGTTCGATTCCCGGCACTACCAGATTTTCTGAGAAGTAGAGGGTCTGGAACAGGGTCCACTCAGCCTCATGAGGATAACCGAAGACCTATTTCAAGGAAATGACGGCTCCAGTCTAGAAAACCTAAATTAATGGCTGTGGGGATTCATTGTGCTGACGATGTGACACCCTCTATCCACTAAAGTTGGCTATAACTTCGCTGACAAGCGGCGGTTGCTCAGTCGGTATAGTTCACTTGCGAAATAAAACCATGGGGTGTTTTGTTACCTTACAGAGGAAAATTAAACTCAGTGTTTCTGATCATGGGTACCTCACAGAGGAAATGTTACACTGGATGTTTCTAACACTGGTCTGAATAAAGTAGCGAGCAAGGGCCAGACACTTATTGTGGCTGGTATTGGGACTGTAACACTAAAGCATGGGGCAGCTAATCTGGAAATCTGAAGATTACTGTCTTCTGGGATGTGGGTCCATGTAGTTGGAATGAAATCACGATACTGAGATGCCTGATACCACCATCTTCAGGTTAGCTTCTACCCTTCTGATGAAATCGGCAGGTCCCCCCACCCCCCCACTGACCACACTTATCAACCAAATTATACAGTGTCACAACCTGGTCAGTGCTGTGAAAACCACAAATAAGGGATTCTGTTCCGCTAACATTATTCACCTTTATATCTGGCTGTGTTTCCTGGTGGACAAGCAATTTTCTGAGGGTTGCATCACTGGCTTCACACTGTAACTTGAAGCTGTAACTTGTGTTGATCTGATGCACACACTGAGGGCATACTTGGGCTGGCAGACCATCACCTATACACAGCTGAAACATGACAACAGCGGCAATAAAATTCTCACTTTAAACATGGCTGAAAAGGGTAGGCTGCAGGGCTCCTGTACCAAAGCTTTCAGACTTGAAGCTGGTTGGATTCCATGAGAATTTTTCTGTATTCCTCACTTATAGAACAAATCCCTTGTTATGAAGCTAGTACCTCCTTAGCTACTGAACATAAATGTTCATCGATGTGAGATCCCAGGTACTCATGGTAGAGACTATTGTGATCATTATCTTCTGATGTGACATTGCATAGTATGATAGTAGTTTATCACCATTTTTATTAAAGAATATGCAAGCAGTATGCTTGCCTGCAAGGCCTATACTTTGACCCTGAACATAGTCTCTAAAATGTCAGTTTACTTCTACTAGACCACACAGCATAACATCCTAGAAGATGGTGCTGTCCATTACTGTGTTCACAAGTGCCCACCACTGATCCTGAGCCAAGTGAATCCAAGCCACATTCTCATGCCCTTTCCTTAAAGTTCATTTTTGTCCAGTTTAATATCAACTTCCCACAAGTGCCTACAGAACTCCAGTGTAGTCCTATCCTTTCAAGTTTAGCAACTAATTTTGTCCCAATTCATCTTTCAATATGCAAAAACTTTGTGAATATGGAGAATATTGCCCATGTAAATTATCTCTAAGGGTATGTCGATCTTGAGTAGGCTACCTTACAATCTCTGAGATATTTCAGACAGTTTACTTGGTCCACATCATGGTTGAGAATTAGTTTAAACTGTAGGCCCCTCCTATTGGCATATTTACATCATTGCCTTAATGTCTGGAATTAACAATCCTCCTGTATCAGAACCTCCAACTCATTTACCCTTCCTAGGAAGACAGCAATGAGAAAAACTAAGAACCCCTTACATTCTGAACATCCACTTCCTTCCACTTCTGAAGTCTGCATCCAGTAATTATACATAAGAATAAATTTAGTTACAGGTTATACTGGATTAGGATGAAGTCTAGAACCACAAGTGAAATCTAAATTCAGTGAGAGGTTGGAGGAATAGGTACATTAGTTTCTTTTATGTCTGGTCCTTGTATAAGATTTCTCTGCTGGTGAATTGTAAAGCTTTAATAGGATCTAAATATGTTGTGATATGTGGTTGCACCTCCAGCAAATATTAACATGTAACATTCTACAAATTATACGGTATTTGTTGCTTAAAGTTTCTCTGTAAACATTACATTTTCCCATATACTTTAATTTCTCCTGTCACATACATACATCTACTACAGGACCTTTTTGGGGCTCTGGATCTTCTCAGTCATTATGTAGACAGTAATGTGTTCAATTTTAAAGTCTTCCAAATCATGTTATATTAGCAATTTTGATAAAATGCGAGTTTGTGACATTGGCACATCATTTTAAAGGATGATCTAAACTGGCTGGCTGAATCATTCATTATCTACTAACCTCTAAATGCGGTATCAAAACCTTTATTTTCTCAAAAATATTATTTTCGTCAAAAAGTGGTAGCAACGTGTCTTCTTGTTTTATCATACAAAGGCGACATATCTCAGTGAAATTCGGTGACATGCCTAATATAATCAATGTTATACTTTGTTACAACTGTATATTCCAAACAGCTCACGTGGAACGTTGCGGTCAAGTGGTTAAGTTTGCATTATAAGTGGGAAGATTAGGTTCAAACCGTGTAAAAGACCTACAATCCTGACACTTCGTTGCGTTTGCTGTCCCTGTACGAAAATGTCGGGGATAGTACATACTTAGGGCATGACCACTTTCTTGCACATCCTTTGCAACGCATTAGCCACTAATAATCCCACTGTCTCACGCCATACAGCCTTAAGCTATTGAGAGCGTTATTAAAGAACCAGCAGTAGATTCAAATTATGAGCAACTTCACACACATACACCATTGACATTCTCAAGTTCTCAATACTATCATATGTCAACATATCAGGATAGCAAACATACGAAATATCCCTCCGTGCACTATGCTGTGAGAAATTATATTTGTTGTGTTGTTTATTCCACTGATCTTAGAAAGTAGCAAGAATGAGGAGCAACTCATACAATCAATATTTCCTGTAATTAAATAGCAATGGGTCCGGGGCAGCTCAGTTGGTGTAGTGACTAGATCTCAGAATTGTCTGACTGAGGAACTGGGTTGGAGTCATGTCAAGGGCAAGATTTCTTCAGTGTCTACACCGGCTTTGGGCCTCACCCAGTATCCAGCCTCCTCTCCAATGGGCAATGGATGTGGATGATGGTGGGAATAGCAGATCACTAACGCTCACTAATGATTTGTATGAAGAGCAGTGCTCTTACCAAACATTGCAGTACAAGATAAAGTTATCCCTTTAACAGGCTGTGGAGGCCCATTGGCCTGTGAGAAGTTGAGGCTCCCACATTTTTAGACGATTGACTCACAGATGGCAGTGAAGTTGTTAGCCTTATGCCCTGGCCATCCTTTACTCCCACCAAGATTCCTTGCATTCATTTCTGTTAGAGGCTGAGTCAACCCCAGGGTGGCTTGAAGGATTAGGTCAATTGAAAAATCCAGTGACTTAATCCTGAATTGACTTTCTAGCTTGTAGCTTGGTGCCTCAACCAGCTATGCTACTGTGTGCCCCCAAACATTGCAGTATGCTACTTTTTATTTAGGAGGTGGAAGAGTTGGAAATGAGATAAAATATCGTGATTGGATTTTTGTGGTCTTATTCTCTCAAAATTAAGGCTGGAACAATACATTGAAACAGGCTTTGGTACTCAGTGCTGTGACACAATTCATAAACATTTCCACATGTGATACTACACAAGATCGGCTATGACCTGTCAAATGCTAAAGTAGACAACTGCTTCAGGGGAACAATATTCAAACATATAGCAGAATATTGTTCTGTTCTGGTACACTTCTAGGCTTAACAAGGAGGATCAAAACTGTCTGACTTCACCTCAGCACAGTAAAATAAAAACCAGCTGTTTATAATCTTTTGGAATATAATGAAGTGACTAGATGTTTAAAAAAAGTAAGTAAACAGTGGGGAAAGCTGACAGGTTTAGACAGCATGTCTCTGATAACCTAAAATGGGTATATTTCATTATTACAGCAGATTAAAAATTTCTGAGTAAATAAACTGTGAATTTCTTTCACAGTCTTCCCACAGCAGAAGCATAACTAAATTACAGTCCAGTATGCAAGAATATAAATGGAATACTTTGTACAAGTGAAACTAATAGAAGGAACAACCTACAAGATAATAAAGTCTATTTTTAATGCACAAAGTACCTTAAAAACCAGAAAATATACTGCACAGGCATACAAACTTTTATTAAATGTGTGTGTTCCAGTTAATGTTATATACTAATATCACATAATCTTGATGGAGGGACTGATTTATTGGTTACTTAACAATATTGTATCAATGCTATCATATAAGAAAAGATTTATCATATATAAAACGTGCGAGTCAGGATAGTGGTAGGATAGTGGTATAGTGACGGGCTGGATGGCCCAGGTTTGATTCCTGACACTGCAAGATTTTTATCTTCTCCACAAGATCTAGGCTGGCTGTGGGGCCCACCCAGCCTCCTATCTAATGGGTACTGAGGGGCTCTTTCTCTGGGCGTTAAGCAGCTGGAGTGTGAAGCTGACCACTTACCACTAACTAGTGCCAAGGTAAAAAATGTGGATCTATACATCCACTTCCCATATATCTTCACTGTATAGTGCTTAATTAGTTAAGCACAGAGATAATCTTTATATAAAACATATTCCTTATATATGTACGACTGCTTTTACAGTGGTGAAGATTCCTGTAGTCTGGATTATGACAAAGTGAAATCTTGCAGGTGGGTGCCAACATGTTCAAGAAACACAGTGCTTCCATCTTCAGGGTAAAGACACCTATACCCTGCAGATGGAAGCATTGTATTCCTGCGACACACTGGTACTCACATATCATAGTAAACAATGTCATAGCCCAGAAAACCACAGTATGAAAACATTACTGGTACTTACAAACTTTAACATATGGAGCGGTCACAGAGTAAGAGATTTAAGCAGATTACAAACTGTAGAAATTAAATTTATGTGTAGTTGAGCGATTGAAGAGCCATGCAATCAACACTAAGCTCAAGTGTTTTGATGTTATCATATGTATATATCTGTATAAATGTTTTGAAGGCTATCTTTTCGTGTAAAAAGCAAACTGATAGTATGACTGCCATAACTTTTCCATCACACTGTATTAAGAAACTAACAAGAAGGGATAACATTCAAAACAAAGACAGTAGATGCAATCTGACAGGAGAAATACTTTCAGGAAAATTGGAGAAATTATGGATACCGTGATATGGACATGTGTTATATATGGTTGGAATAGGATTCCTTCAAGAGGGTAAAAAATGATATAAAATGTACCAACTGAGAGAACAAGGAGAGAATACATACAGATAACATGAGGAATGCTGGTTGGAGGAGACAGCTGAATGGAGAAAGTTTGCCCTAAGATGATACCCTTATGGAAGTGCTGATGTGTGCTGGTAGTGATACAGTAACTGCATCAGTGAGATGTGAAAAAGGTTATAAATTAGGCAAACACAAGTCTCAAATTTTTGAGACCAAATTGTAACACCAATTTTCAGTCTCCGATTAAAAATAAATTTAGGTAACTGCTTGTGCTTAGTATAGGTATAGTAGCATGCGAGCTACAAATCCATCACAATCTTAATGTTAGCAAGAATCAGTTTGTCAACAAAACCTGTTTCTTTCCCCTCTTTCTGCTTACAGTGGAAAAACGACATCGTCCTAGAACTATTTTTTAACAGACTGACTTAATGAGAATTCTTAATTGAAAATGGATATTATATCAAAAGGGATAACTAATGCACTTTGAAAAACTGGCCAGTGTTATATATTTTTAGTCAATAAAACTGCATTTGTAAGGAAAATTCTTGCTCTCTTCTCATTTCTCAAAATTTTCCGAATTTCTCGAGAAAAAAACTTTCTCACATATGCCTATTATACAAGGGCTATTCGGAAAGTAACCTCTGGCAAGCTATTAACAAAACAAGCAACAAGAAAAAATATTATTATGTACAGTAAATAGTACACACTTAAGCTGCTTCTCAATAGTCACTGCCAGAACTGAGGCACTTGTCATATTTGGGAATAAATTGTATGCCTGTATGAAAGAAGTCTGCCACCTGTGAGCTGACATGTTTCGACACCTTTCATCAACTCCTCATCAGTGTTGAGGCACTGTGATCACAACCAGTTCTTCAGGTAGTTAAACAGGTGGTAGTCACTCAGAGCAAGATCAGTGCTATAAGGAGGGTGATCAAACAACTCCCAGGTGAAATGCTCCAGCAGTGCTCATGTGTCAGCAGCTGTATGTGGATGCGCATTGTCATGGAATAGGACTACACTGGATGTCAGCATTTCATGTCTTCTGTTCTGAACAGCCCTACACAATTTTTTTTTACTGTCTTGCAATATACTTCTGACATTATTGTGGTCTTCTGTTGCATGAATTCCATCAGCAATCCTTTCCTGTCCTGTCCTTGAAAATTACCATCAGCTTTCTGACAGGCAGACATTTCTTTATACTTTTCAGCTTGTTCGGTAAATGTGTGTGCATCCACTGCTCTTTGGTTTCAATATTCACAAATGAGATCCAGGTTTCATTACCTGTTACTCATACAATGAGACTGGAAAATCCATCGTCATTTTGGGGTATCAATCTAAAGAAGTCAAAGCTCAAGTCATTCTCTGTGTTCTATGCACACCAACAAGTATTTTTGGAACCCGTCTTGTGCGAAACTTCTGATTGTCTAGCCTACGTGTGATAATCTTGTAGAGAACAGTGCATGAAATCTGTGGAAATCCACAAAAGTTCTGAAAATTTTTGGTCAACACATTGAACAAGATCACCACAGATGGCTGTCCACTTCGCTCTTCATCACGAACTATCTTTGAACATTCTACACCATTGTCTTCCTCTTCCTTCACTCCTTACATTTTGGCTGTACACCACATATAATTCATGATGGATTTCCACAGCATTCATAGTGCAAAGATAGCAGATAGCACGAATTTCACTGCTGGTGGGATTATCAATTTCAGGACACATCATAACTCACTCTGCAGAGACAAGAACAAACACTAGGTGACCAGTTATGTGATTGATTACAAGGTATGTGGGAGCTTTCCCCCGCTCCTACATTAGTTACCTAAAATAAACAGAGGTTACTTTCAGAATTAAAAATAAAAGTAAAGCTAGCCCTCTAACGGGCCATGGAAGCCCAGAGGCTTGTGAGATGTTCAGGCTCCCACATTTTCTAGACAGTCAGTTCACAGATGGCAGTCAGATTGTCAGCCTTATGTGCTGGCCGCCCTTTACTCCAGGAAGATTTCTAGTACACATTTCTGTTAGAAGCCAAGTTGACCCCAGAGCCATGTGTGACTGGAAGCATTAGGTCAATTGAAAAATCCAGTGACCTCATCAGGCACTGAATGCACAACCTTCGAGCTTGAAGCATAATGCCTCAACCAACTATGCTACAGCGTGCCTCCTAGCTTCCGAATAGCCCTTGTACATTGTACGTTCAAAGGAATGAGACACTAAGGAACTGTTCTAGGTGTAAATTACGGTGATGAAGTGAATAACAAGGGCTTAGGAAACCAGCTTCATAGCCAGTTTCTTAATGACAAATATGGTTCATCAGTTACTGAATTATAGAAATGAAAGCACTTATCTTGAGGTCATAAATCTGTTTGTTTCTTTCCATGTACAGCATTCAGATGATATTTAAGATGTTCTCTCCTTACAAAACCCTTCGCACAATATTGACAACAAAATGGCCTCTTGCCAGAATGTACAGATGAATGATCTTTTAAGCGAGCATTGTTGGCAAAAGATTTACCACATTCTAAACATATGAACGGTTTATTTTCCGAATGAGTTGCAATATGAACTTTAAGGTTCTGACTTTGTGCAAAACTTTTTCCACATACTGTACATAAAAATGGTTTGTGGCCTGTATGAACACGCATGTGCTTCTTTAAAGAATCCCTTCGTCCAAATTCTCGGCCACACTGATTACAAGAAAATGCCTTTTCACCGGTATGTCGAACCAAATGTGCCTGCAAGTGAGAAGGACGGGCAAATTTTAGCCCACACTCAACACATGAATAAGGTTTGTGTCCTATATGAGTATTTCTATGGGTAAGAAGGCCACTCTTCTGAGTGAAACGTGTACCACATTCTTCACAGCAATATGGCTTCTCACCAGTATGTATCCTGGAATGAATCTTGAGACACTCTTTCAGCGCAAATGTTTTCAGACACACATCACATGAAAAAGGTTTTTCTCCTGTATGTGACAGCATGTGATTGTTTAGATGTTTTTTCACTTTGAAAATCTTCCCACAAATATCACAAACAAAATTCTGTTTCACCCTCATCTCTTTTGTTGTACTGGATCTAATGTCATGATCCTGATTGTCCATTTCATTTATGTCAATTAGCAACGGATCAGTCAAGGTGTCTGAGCCACTGTATTCATCACACAACCTAGAGGCAAAGATCAGTAATTATTAGACAGAACAGTGCATAAATTTTGAAGAGAAAACCTCATGGGTCAGATCTACTGACTGCTATTAAAAGGTGAAGTCAAATAATAACAATCCATCTGATTCTACCATGATCACTAGAACACATCTCAAACATTGACTCAGAATTTTGTAGGTTAAAGAAATTATCTGTCTAACCCTGGGCTCTCATTATCTCTAACAAGCATATCATCATCTTCAATAGTAATCTCTAGCTTTATAAGTTCTTCCTTCACTGGTGCTGACGTACAGGTTCCATCACTACTGCTTTCTTCCTGCAACAGAAAAACAGAAAGATATTCAGAGGATCAGCTTATAAGTTAAATAAGGCTGACGAGATGAAAAACACAAAAATATTCTGGTTAAAGTTTATTTCATTTCAGTCTGACGGTGAAGCTATCTGTTTATGTCCACTTGTAAAGTCTAAGGGGGTAAGAAATCAGCAGGAAGTTGGGTCTGGGTAAACTGCTTGTACACAATCTCTACATCAGTGGTTCTCAACTTTTGTGAGACCGCGGCATGGCAGTTGAGAAACATGCTCTACGTTTCTCTTTTCTGCCACCAGTAAACAGAAAGTGGGCCAGCTATGTCCAATTATATGCTTCTTTAACTCAATGTCAACTAGCAGAATTTCTGAAACAGATGTTCTGAACAGACAGACATACCAGGTCTCTAAAACATTCTGAAGTACATGTTTAGATTTTGTGAGCATTTTGTCCTACATCAACAAATGGCAGCTTTATGTTCTCTGGTCTCTCTTTGACCAAAGAATGAATTTTACATGTAGAAATACATCAAGGAAGATAACATTTCAAGAGCAAAGGCTTGCTGCCATTTAAGTGTGGAGCTCAAATACAGATGTACACTACCAGTGGACTTAAGTAGTATACAGTTTATTTTATGAGCCTGTCAGTATCTAGATTATGTAGTGTCAAATGCTAGATCGAGTGATGAAATTAAAACGTTTGAGAGGAAGCAGACCTGGCCTAATCAATGTACTATCATTGCATTTGTATGGGGAAACTGAGGAAAACTATGAAAAACCTTAGTCATGACAGCCAGTGTTCTGGCTAAGATTCAAACTGTACACCTCCTGAGTAGACATTGTAGACCATTACTGTACACCAGTCTGCTTGATGGCAGAGGTGGGGTTTATGTAGATTGCAAACTGATCAGTGTTCAGATGATGAAAATAGTGAAAAGCATGACTGAAACACGGTCTTAACCAAGATTACTGTCTCCTGGAATGACACCATGCAGTTTGATAGATATGTACCAATACTTAGGAGACACATGCCAGCTCCATTTTCAGGATACAAGATCGAGGCAACAGATCCCTCCAAAATGCTGCTTTCCACCTTTAACATACAGAGTTACAGACCAGAAGACTACAGTCTGAACGGAAACAAAACCAAAAGAGAGACCTCAGAATAAGGGAATGAGAATCTTGGTTAGGAAACCGGCGATCCTAAAAAGGTTTCTGTGATTTTCCCCAATCCTTGTAGTACAATTCTGTGAATACCTTGAGGTAGATTAAGAGAGCTTCCTTCGACACTTCATATTTGAATTCGTCTTGCATTATATAATCCCTGCAGTTGAAATGTTATTAAATAACTCAACAACAGTCTAATCATACAGCAGAGCTTTGATAACCTATAAAATTTCTCATTCTTCATTATTTTGAAACACACACTGAACAAAATTTTCCCTTCTTTTGTTGGTATCTATACCTGTAAAGCAGTTTGTGATTGATGACAACCAACTAGTTGCTTGAGTGTAGCATCAGCAGTTTCACACTGAAGCTTAAAGTTATAACTTGTGTTCACTTGTTGAACACACTGAGAACACACTTGGGATGGCAGACCATCATTGATGCACAACTGTAAAATGTAAATATTGACATCTCAATTACATTGTAGTAAATTAAAATTATATTCCTGAAGAAATTAAGACCAATTTGGGAAATGCATGCCACAATTCAGTCCCCATCACCATTTCAAAATTTAAAAAAGGCATAATTTTACACAGTTTTATGTTGGTGTGATAATTTTCCATTCTGAGGAAAGAACCAAGTAGTGTGGAAAATTTCTAGCCCTATAAGACATGAAGGTATACACAATAACAAAATGTTGTACTAAAAACCTTTACAGTTTATACTATTCATGATGGAACTAAGAACTACACATGAACTTTGCAAGGGAAAATATATTTTAGAATAATATGCGAACTGGACCCACACAAAACCAAGTGGCAGTCCTTTGTGAACACTGTGGTGAACCTTGCATGTTTCAATGAAACAAAATTTTGTTGATTAGCTGAATAACCAGGGCTTGAGGTTGGGCAGGATGGCATCCCAGTTCTTTTCTAAATGGCTTAAAAGCATCCCGTTACTTCTTTGGCAGTAAATGCAATGTACAATACCTCTTTTGTTAAAAGGGGAAAACCATCCCAGTTCTATTTTCATTCCACCTCAAGCACTGTGAATAACTATCTAATGCTTAAGAATGATCTTGAATTATGAAGTACCTTTATGCTTTTCCACAGCAGCTGAAATGTGTTCATTAGAACTTTAATCGAATAACAGCACTTAACTGTGTTTATGGAGACTGACTGTTCTGATTCTTTTTTGATGGTAGGAGCAAATTTGGAGTCAGAATGGGACTAGACCTGGTGGATAATGATGGTTGTCCTATAGGTGCAGATGATTTATGAATTACTGTGGAATAGGAAATCATTAGCTGTGATTTTGGAATATTACCCCTAGGATTTGTCTAGAAATCGAGGAAAACGATGGACTCGTTTTTCACCAGTTTTTAATAGTTTTGAAACTTATGAATATGAGAATCGGATTCTTCAATACCATATATATTTACATACGGGTACTAGGTTTGCGGAAAACTTTTATTTTCTGACTGCTGAAGTGGTGACCATGATTGATGCTTTTTATTGCAATGTGTTATAAAACTGTAATTGTTATACATATATACATGAATATTACTGATTAATGTACAAACACCTTGTGGCTACTTAAATTCATAATATATTAACCTTTATAAGTGGCATCAAAGTCATAACTTTGCCAGGCAAGTTGTCCTCTTGGCTAAATATTGGTAACAATGTTCCACTTGGTTGTGCCATACACAGACGGCATATTTTGTTGAAATCTAGCGTCATTCTTACTTTAAAAGCATAAAGACACATGCACGCGTATTTTATCGTACATCAATAAAAGGCGTCCGTCAAATATACATCAGTTGTGAATACATAACCTCTTCTCCGCGCAATTTGCTTTTTCTCCCCCCCAGGTTCGCGACCGAAATAAGTTACATGTTCAAAATATCCTTCAAAGGCATGACAACCTTTATTAGGCGTTTTGTTATAAGCAAAATATTGTCTATACATATATTTGTGCATATCAAACTATTTTTCCGGGCTCATTACACGGTACTTTTTTCTGGCAATATCTATAGTACAGTATCGGGCGTATCGGGTGTGAGTTTCTCACGGCGGCACAGCTTGACTCCTGCTGGTGTCTCGTCCGGTCTAATCTGTCTTTTTTTAATGTGCTGATGTAAACATTACATTTCTCCGAATCACCTGGCTGCCTCCAAACTGCGAACTACACAGCGCGGCTACACAATTACGCGAAGTATCGTATTGTTCATCTGTTCACCGCTGCTAAATATATCAATCGAGTGTCATTGGTAGTTCGGGTTGCGATGAACAGGGTAACAAATCTTCGGCTGCGGAATTGTACGACTATTAGCTTCTCAAGAAGAACTCTGTCCCTTGAAGTTAATTTGTTACAACATATTTCTCAGTGTGCCTAACGGTCGCTTTAAACCTAGTTGTGAAACATTCCATTGGAAGTATAATTTTGTTAGCGTCAATTGTCATTCCGAATGTAGTGGTTGGCACTGCTGCTTCTAATACTCGACCCTCCCATTTCGAATTCCTGCCGGGAGACCATCTGTTGTGATCGTCGAGATGGTCGAGATCGAGGCTTTTTCGTAGCTTTTCGCAGTCCCTCCTTGCAGATCTTGAAGAAGGTGTGATAGTAGATGGAAACAGGACCGAAGATGAAAGTGTTTACCATTTTGCCTTGATCACTACCCGCTTCCCAACAAAAGAAAAAAGACTGAAGTGCACAAGCAACTAAACATTCACTTTATTTTATTTGTTATGCACGATTGTTTCGTGTGAATTCCCTTTTCTTTACGTGAAGCTTGTACGTGTTTTTTTTTGTGTATTGATTCACTGCGGCTTGTCTTATGCGTCTTATGTAACTGATTCCTTGCAATAGTCCACTGTTGCAAAAGGTACTCTCTCTCACGCACGCACGCCCATACACAGTCTCCCCCCCCCCTCAGGAAACTTGAAGTTGCACAGCTCGTCCATTGTATTTTCATGTACATGATGAATAATAGTAGTAATAACATTTATATAATGAGTATAATAATGCTTCTGATTTATATTTGGAAGGTGCACAGTTAAAATATTGACCGGTTAACTGAGTCATCCTGACCAAGATTTTTATGGTCTTTCCCACTTCCACCAGGCCATTGCTGTGATAATGCCTCAAATTAGGTCACCGTTGCTTCCTTCCACATACTTTCCAATTCAGTATTCGCTAATCAATTCCCATACAACAATAAATCGAGATCTATGATAATCCATGATAACTAATGAAACGGGGCCAGGATAGTACAGTGCCTAGCTACAGGCTGAGGGGTCAGAGTTCGAGTCCCGGTAGGTGCAAGCTCTTTCTCTTCTCCACGTAGTCCTGACTGGTTCTAGGGTACCGAAGGCTCTTTCCCTGGAGGTAAAGCGGCCGGGACGTGAAGCTAACAGCTCACCTCCAACTAGTGCGGAGGTCAAGAAAGTGTGGATCTATACATCCACTCCCCCACACGCCTTCATGGCGTAGTGCTTAATTAGTTAAGCACAGGTACAACTTTACCTTACCTTACCTTTAGTGGGAATATGTAACAATATGAATACGGTACACCAAATAGGCTAGTTAAATTACCCCACAGGGACATTTTGGTTATAACCTTGTAATGTATTGGGTCAAGATATTTACTTTCACGGGCGTCGGCTTTAACATTTCATGGGAAAGAGTAAAAATGTACGGATTGGTACAAATAATGCTACCTACATCGGAAACTGCGGAGTCCGAGACGGCTGTTGCCAGCTGTTGCCGTTGCTGCAATGCGAATCCAACATGGAAGCTTGTCGGTTTTTGTGAGCAGTAACAGTTTGTTGTCTCCCTCGTAGTGAAGTTAAGTTTCCTTAAAATAAGCAATATTACTGTATATATTAATTATAAAGATGTCAGAATACGATTATGAGTATGAACTAATGAGGTCTGAACTTCTGGGATTACCGCTACCGGAAAAAAAACCGGTCCAACCTGTAAATGAGGACAATGTACATTCAAGCGATGTTGAAGACCACGGCATAGAAGAAAATGAGGTATGCGCCTATTAAATGAGAACGGTTACTCCTCCAGGTTTGTTACTTTTGGTATCAATTTACAGAGTTTCAAACAATAAGAGGTGTGAAGGCACGCACACCATTTACTTTAAGATAAGCACACGTCTGTATATTGTATTGTTTGTAGGCGCATTATATTAATATAAAATAACGAACAGTGTATTAAACTGCAGAACATGGCTTTGGGCTCTCCACCTTAGAGTATTCAACATATTTTGACCGCACCGTACACCTTGGCGGCCCTTGTTTGTACTGTTTGGTTACTTCTGACATGTAAATGTGTACATACATTTTACACTTACATTATAAGTTATTTTGAAGCGTATACTCATACTGGGTAATATATGAATGTCATAGTAACAAAAGTGTGGATGTAGTTTTTTGTAGTGTACTATACACAAGTGGGTACTTATTATAATTGCAATATTATTAATTTTTCTTAGTAACCTCACCGTTTAGGCAGAACCGTATGAAGGAATGTGACATAAGTTTTTCCAGTTCTTGTCATTGTTTTAAACCAGATATGTTAAAACATAAATAATGTCTCTTTTATACTTATGGCTTTGAAGGGTTCTAATGATTAAGTCATATAAATAATAATTGTTTTTCATCCCAGGATATTCAGGTGGAGGGGGAACAAATGGGGAGGGTGTCAGGAGGTCTGGACGAACTGAACAGCATTCTCAGCATCACACAAAAGAAGATCAACAGATTTAAGGCAAGATTTTTCAGCTGTTTGCTATCAGCCACAAGTATCTTGTTTAAATCCAAACTGTTCATAATTGTACCATAATTTATGAGCAGGAGGTATGTACAGATAATACAGACATTGCTTCAAGTATTCAATAACTTTTTTTTTAACCATATTGTCATGAAATAGGCTGTTGTTTCATTATGGTGAGGTAAGGTAAAGGTACAGTTGTCCCTGTGCTCAGTGAATTTAAGCACTATGCCATGAAAGCCTATGGGGGAGTGGATGTATAGATCCACATATTCTTGACCTCAGCACTAGCTGGAGGTGAGTTGTCAGCTTCACACCCCAGCTGCAGTGCAGAAGCTTAACTGAATCTGAGAGCCAAATTTCCATTTCATAGTTTCCATGAAACAAAATTGAATGTCAGTAATTTTGAAGATCAGTAGAGCAGCAACTTGTATTTGGGAAGCCATGGTTCATATCTCAGTAGGAGTAGTGGCTCTCCTGACTACGCTTTTCATGATTTGCTCAGGCTTTAAAGCGAATATTTGGATGTATTTTATCTTTTTAGTAATATTGAGGGAGCATATTCCTCTGAAATGTTCTTATCTACCTACTGTAACGTCAGAAACTACCGCCATGTCCCTCGACTAGAACCCCCCTTCATTCCTTTTCCCCCTCACCTCCTGCCCTACGCCCTCCTTTCACCAGGGACTAGCAGGCTCGTCTGAACACGGCAAGGGGATTCTGCTGCACGCCGTGCTTGTCTCGTTCCCAAACTATTTCTTGAACTTTTTGGTTTGCTAAATTAACGGCGGAGTTGGTGCACGCTTTTACGTTGTGCCGTCCTTATCTGGGACAGTTTGTATTTTTATTTCACTCAACCAATTATATTATTATATTTATTTGGTGCGTGTATTGTTTAAAATATTTTCCTACCCCAAACCACTTTTCGGTCCTGGGCACTGGTACGTTTCAAAAAGTGGTAGCAGAGCGTGGTTTGGGGTATTTGTGCTTTGGTTTGCTTGTTGGGACGTTTTGACTGTTTCTATTCTGTTTTGTGTTGATCATGACGTCTGAGCCTCTACTGCCCGAGTACCTACACAAGGACGAGCTGCAATATGAGCTGGCAGCTCGGGGGATTTCGACGGAACGGTTGAATGTCGCCACCTCAGATCACTACTCAGGACCTCCCGGGATGTGGAGGAAAACATCGAGCTCCTGAGCAGTATGAAATGTCTGAAGGATCTAACAGCAACCATTTCCTTGTATCGAGAGAAATTCCTCCAGATCAGGGAACTGGTGGAGAACACCGACAGCTCCCACATTGCACTTGATTTCCCTCGCTATCTACATCGACTCGTCGTTGTGTAGATACTCGGGCAGTAAAGGCTCAGACGTCATGATCAACACAAAACAGAATAGAAACAGTCAAAACGTCCCAACAAGCAAACCAAAGCACCGATACCCCAAACCACGCTCTGCTACCACTTTTTGAAATGTACCAGTGCCCAGGACCAAAAAGTGGTTTGGGGTAGGAAAATATTTAAAAAAATACACACACCAAATAAATATAATAATATAATTGGTTGAGTGAAATAAAAATACAAACTGTCCCAGATGAGGGAGTGCAGGAGGGTAGAGTAATTGTCATTCAAATGTGACAGATCCGGGTTAAGGTCCTCGCCCACTAGAACAGTGTCGTATCCGCGCAGTGCAGAGCGAAAGCTGCAGATGCACTGCTCTCCATGTATTTAAATGGAAGTGCGCCCACTAGAGTAGGGTCGTGCCAGTATAGTACCGTCTCTGTTGCTCAAAGAGGCAAACATTCTGCACGGCAGTGTCATGGCAGCACGCCGCATCCCCCTTCACACATACCAAAACGCTTTGTCATTCCTGGGTTGAGTGTCAATGAGGCAAGACATGGTGTTAGAGGAAAGATTAATCTCCACTGTACAAGAGTACAATATAATCTACGACTGCAGTCATGCCTACTATTATGACAGCGTGAGAAGAGAAAACGCTTGGACGGAGATTGGCGAAACGCTGTAATTTAATTTCAATCAATTATTATTCTATGTAAAGGAGCGATGGTTTGTTTTGTGTCACCTTACTTAATACGACTGTAAATACTAATAATATAAAATCAACTATCTGGCAATATAAAAACTTCACTGGTTTTGTCATTTAGAAAACAAGTGTGAGAACTAGAGTTACCTTAAGGTCACTGCTAACTGTTCTCTTGGGGTTATGGCCTCTCTAAAATTCATGTTCTTTGTTATGGCCCAAATTTGAGATTGAAGAGGGTATGGTATTACCCAAAAGCTAGAGACTTGCGAAAAGAGTTTCGCAGCTATTGCCGTAAATTGTAAACACCAGGACTGGCAATTAGGTTAAGAATGTGACTGCACAGCAGGTCTCTGTAATCGCAGAGCAATAGCTTACCTCACTCGTTCACTGGATTTAATCGTAAGAGACTGCTTACGCAGCAATAAGACGCAAGGGGTCCGCCCACAACCACCCATGAGAGCCAATGAGGAGGTTATTATGAGGATTGAGGACACTGAGGGGGAGTCACCTACCCTCTGTCGTCAACGCTGAATCAGCGAAAGAAAACGATAAATTAGGGAACTTCGGGGGATTTGAATCATGTTCTATCACAGAATATTGAAGTGTCAGCCGGAGGCTCTCGGCGACATGTATACCATAAGAGGGTGGATGACGGCAGTGATCTACATATGTATTGCAAGTAAGTCTCTTTGCTCATATACGCCATGCTGTTAAAGGTTGTTGTTAATACAAGTGTTATTTTGAGATAATGAGGCAGGATCCAGTGAACCAAGTGAGAGCCAGGGTAGCACAGGGTAGGAATGAACGGAGAGTGGCAGACGACGATAGGAGTGCAGTTTCAGGGCACCTCCCCTTCACAAACTAGGATGGTAGAATGAGTTAAGCGAGAAGTGTCATGTCAACAGATAAGAGCAGGCCTTTTTCTTAATGTATTTATTATTGTAAATAGACAGTGTACATATTGGAAAATGTACGCAGGGAGTTCTGATTCACCTGTTAGTAACCATCCCGACCTCAACCGAGCCCGAGCTTCCCTAGCCAAGACAGCCGACGGCAGCCGAGTGCAACGCAGATGTTAGAAAAAGAGTAATAACCGACGAAAGTATTTATAAGTCCTCACCCCCTCCCCCTGAGGTGTAACATTGATCTTCTCTATGCTTGGCTCTATTGCTAATAATAGCTCACAAAATTTGGCATAGCGCATGCGAAAGTAGATAAAAAAACTTTTTATCGTCTTCAGTTAGGTCGTGAAATATCGTGTGGAACTCTCCGAATTCGTTTCTTTTCTTGTTAATATAGTGCACCCATATTCGCTTTGGCTGATCCTCTTGTAGCATCATAGCTGCACAAATCGTTTCTTCTTCCGAAGACGAGTCGGTCATTGCAATATTCTGTACAACATGGAGTGCAAGACTGCACGAAAGCGGACTTGGTTCAACTTGGAGGGGTAAACGTAGTGGGTAACAACTTTGCTGGGGAATGCTTTTGGTCCCGTCTCTGACGCTGCACGCCTGCAGTGGGTGCACTCGCTGCAGACATAACTACGACGACACTGCACTGGTCTGCTAACCATACTGCTCTAGTGGGCGAGGAGCTTTAGCCGGCGTGGCTGCACACACCCACGACTTATCGTCGGGAGGACTTCGCCCCAGTAAATGCAACCTGTTAGTGGGATCAAATCTAAACAACGCGTGCCCCTGCTGAACATCAGTCATCAAACCCGTCTTCCCTAAAAAATCAGCACCCAAAATGACGGGCTGAATCAAGCCGGGAACAACGTAAAATGGGACTTTCCATGTATAACGATCAATCCTGATCTTACACTTGTCTGCAGTATGAACTGGGAAAGTCTGAGCAGACGCGGTAACACACTTTACCGTCACGGGATAAGTGTGCAGAGAAGGGAGTGCTTTCATAAGGGATAGGCAATGTCGGACATCAAAGAACGGACAGCCCCAGAGTCTAAGAGCGCACAAACGGGTCTAAAAGCGAGCTCCACCTGAAGACAGGGTAAGCTATATTCTAGAACCCCTGTATTTGTTGATTATGCGAGTTGGAAATAGTGTGGCTGAACGGGGTGGAACTTCGAGGTGGGCAATTCCAACGAGGAGGGGCTGGGTTACGTGCTAGTCAAAGAGTATTTGGTTGAGGTCGAGAATTCTCAGTAGCTGAGGTGGGTAACCGGACATAACGGTCCTTGCAAGTGTGACCGGGTTTATTGCACCGATAACAGACGGTCCTCGGACGGGCCGAAACAGGCGCAGCGGACACGTGCCGATCAGAAGGTGTCGCCGAGTTCGATGGAGTCCCCGTTTGAGAGGTATGACTCTGGTCATATCGCAGAATACTGTGTGCATATATGCTGCACATTTTATCTAATTCCGCATAGGTTGTCGGGGCATCGCAGAAATCTAGGCGATTCCGCTCCTGAGGATGGAGTCCGTCAAGAATATTCCGGACTACCACAGCCTCATTTGCATCCTGCTGAAGAACAGCGGCCATTTCCTTGATGTCCGTTATGTACATAGATAGGGGTTCATTGGCCCTCTGAGCTCTCAAATACTCTGAATTTAGTAATGGCAACATGGAGTGCTGGGGAATAAAAAAGGAAAGTATGCTCTCGTGGTATGCGTGGTATCCCCGCGGCTTATGGCTTCGATAGTCTTGGATGCCAATGTGCCTTTAGTGAAAGTAAAAAGGACTTGCAGCACGTGACCCGGGGGAACTTGGAAAACCACCAGGCTTTCTCGAATCCGCACTAAAACACAGAAAAATTTTATGAGGTTGCCAAGATGCAACCCATCTGTGTGGGAAAGACCCTCAAACATGCGCTGCACAGGATTTGGCAGCTTGGCAAAAACAAAAGTGGGATTAACCATAACCGGCGGGTAACGGGGGGCCCCTGGGGGAAGTAAATTGGACAATGTAGGTTGACCATCACTCTGGCTCGAGCCGTCAACAAGCCTACTGGTGGGGTTCAAACGCTCCTTATCCACACGCCCAGGGAGGTGAAAAGTTGCTTCAAGCCTACCTTGAGGTGTGAAAATTTGTGGTTATTCATGTCAACATATATTTATGTGTTGATGCAGACAGTGTGTGGAAGCTTCACAAATCTCTTGAAGTTGAGGATGGGCGCTAAAAGCGATGGGGCATCAAGTGATAATAGCAGCCTGGCATCTGAAGCAGACTGTGTCTTGCAGAGTGAGGAAGTTCATGAGAATTCTGAATCAGGTTTGTATTATTCCCAAGCCAAAATAACTCAGTTTAGTTTGATTATTTATTTTCATGCTGATGGAGGTGCCCAGTTGCTAATTGCAAAGCAAGCATGAGTACAAAGCAGTCAGTAGATCATTTCATAATAATGACACAGAACAGTTCTTATTTTGTGTGTTTGCTTTTTGTAGGTGTAGATGCTACAGAAAGCAAGGCACTTGTGGCGTCCAAGAAGACAGCACAACGAGCTTTGGATCTCGAAGGGACGTTGGGCTCACAAATCGACAAGCTAGATTCAATGCTCATGAAGGCAGAACAAGCTGAATTGAGCATGTCAAAACAGAACAAGGAAATGAGGATCTTTCTGAACAAGTAGGCAACCCGTCCTTCACTCACATGTAAAGAAACTTGTATCTGCATCCTATTTATCTCTGTAATGGCCTTTCAAAATTAGGTCATTAACGTTGAAAGCTGCTGTATGTTGTATTAGCACTGCTTGAGGTTTTCATGATAGATCGTCACTATAGTACTCAGTAAGTGTTGTTACTTTCTAAGGGACCTTATAGACAGCCTAAGTTATTGGTTTCAATATATTGACAGTACTCTAGTAGTATTTGTTACCATAAATTTAAAGTGTTTTGAACTTTACTGTGCTTTGACATGTTAACTTAGAAGGTAGAGGTGTTTACGTCTTTGGAGATAAAGCTTTCATCTTTTTGTATTTTTGTTTCTGTATAATCCATCGCCAACCATTAATTAAAAAGTATTTCAAATGATGCAAGTTTTGAGGATTTCACAGTGGAGATCATTCAGATTGTGGTCTTCTGAGTTGTGACACCACATAGACATTTAGGTAGTTACCTATAATCCAGAGGAGCATACTGCCACAATTTCAGGGTTGAATTCAGTACTGAAGCTGGAGGTACTATGTTCCTCTGAAACATAGGTATTCACCTACAAGTTTGCACAATGTCACAGTTTAGAAGACTACAATCTGATCCTGATAATGTTGATATGTAAATACTAATATAATACCCAGAATCAAACTAATAAAAGCTTAACCCTCTTTTTATGTTCACTTTTTTACACAATATATATATATTCAGGGCATGTGGTAGCGTAGTTGGTTGAGGCACTATGTTACAAGCCAGAAGGTTGTGGGTATGAGTCCCATTGAGGTCCATTTTTTGTTCAATTTACCTAATTCTTGCAGCCGCACTATGGCCCTGGGATAGACTCAGCCTTCAACAGAAATGAGTACTAGGAATATTCTTGGGGTGTAAAGGGAAGCCGGCATGTAAGGCTGACAACCTTACCGCCATCTGTGAGCTGACTGTTTAGAGAAAATGTGGGAGCCTCGATGCCTCATAACCCTATGGGCCTTCACGGCCGGTTATTGTGATAGCTGTACCTTTTTTTTATTTACCTATATTCAGGGTACTCTTTCACCTTGAAGATGGAAATAGCAGGCTCCTCTGAAACATAGGTAACTGTTTACCAGACTACCCAGCATCGCATTACTGAAAACAGTGATATTGATATGAGTATTTATTTTGTCTTAATAATACATTAAACAGTAAGTGTACATGAATTATGTGACAAAATACATTATTCTGATCTGATACAGAAACTATTGGCTGAAAGCACTAACCTAGGCTGTCAATGTATTGGAAGTTTGTGAAACTAGTTTTATCATGACAGATATTGTGGATACTTTCCAGTTAGGTTGTGCCTGCAAGACTGAGTTTCATTAAGTAACATTTTTGTGTTACTTATGCTGTAAAAGATATTTTGATATCATGACCACAATTATGTGTCATTTTATGAAGATGGCAATGTGGAACTCGCAATGGTGTTGATATTATTTATTTGTATGTTGCCTACTGTTTTCATAGTCATTTTTTTAACTTTTTTATTTAATTACACTCTTGGTGTTAAGGCTATGTAGCACTAATGATGTGTTATTGATGAACATGGAGTAGTTAGTGGAATGGGAATTGGCAGGGGAAACTGAAGTACTTGGAGGAAGCCTGCCCACATGCCATTTTGTCCTCCACAAATATCACCTGTCATCTGATCAAACCAGGGCCACCATCGTGGGGAACTAATGATTAACTGCCTGAGCTATGGCATGGCCTGAAAAAGACAATCAGATTGATTTAATGTGAATTATTTTGTAAATCCTGTTTCCTGAAACCATCGTTCTCTTTTGTAGACATTTTATATAAGATTACATGCTTTGTACTGAAGTGTTTATTATTGCATTTCCAATAATTCTGAAAAGGCAGTGGCACTGAAATGTGATCATAGGACATTCCAAAGGAAAGTGTTCTTTTTAGCCTCTGATACAAGTTTTTGTTCTTTTATGCCTGATTTAAGGCAGCTGTGTTAGATTGTGCTTTTTTTAAGTTAAAAGTAATAGCTTTTTAGAATATAGCCCATTCTTATGCTCATGAAAGTAAATTATATTTTGTAAGATTTGAGGTTTCCACAGCAGTGACTATGAAGAAAGTAGTCTTCTGGGATGTGGCACCATGCAGATGTGGTTTTAACTGATGTTTCGGAGGAATGTATCGCTTCCATCTTCATGGTACAAGCAGACTGTGTGCTTGTACCAGTTCTCACGGTCTCTTCGCTTGCGGATTTCTTATTTTTCCTTCTACCCTGAAGATGGAGGTGATACGTTCCTCCGAAACGTCGGTTAACACCACATCTACACGGTGCCACATCCCAGAAGACTGATTTATTCAAATGATATTTTGTTTCATATACAGATAATTTTAAAGTTTTCAATTTGTAGTCCCAGCCAATTATCGAGTGTCACATTGCTTTCATACAAGTTTTCTTCAGTTTATTCTGTAAATTTAATGAAAATTTCACCTTGTGTTTCAAGCATCTCTTCAACTCTTTTGCATCCAGAGGTGTAGTTCAAAAAAGGAATGTGCTAGGACAGTCTGGCACACAGTTCCAGGTTAAAGGAAATGGGTATATATCACTATATGAGGCTGTTCGTGTTTACTCATGATACACTTTTAAAGGCACAGTTGAATGATGAACAGTTCATGAAATGCATATACTTAAAGAAGCTGATGCTTTTGACAGATTTTCAGCAAGCGATGAGAATCTGGATGTTAGGCACTCATAATGCTGACAATGAGCAGTCATATCTTCTAGGATGTAATGTTGTGTAGTCCAGAAGAAGTTCACTGATGCTTCAGAGGAACATGCTTTTGTGTTCAGGTTGAAGGAGTAAGCCAAGCAAATAACCATCAAGAAGCAGGCTTGCCATCTTGCTTGGCTTTCTTTTGGCCCTGGAGATCAAAGCAGTTTGTTCCTTCATAATGTTGGTGAACTTCTACGGGGGCACATATGTTACACCTCAGAATAAATTGCTCTCAAAGCAGTGAGAACCCAACACTCCACATAATTGTATTTAATAGAAGTGGCAGGGCAGTGTTTCACTCAAAAATGCACCAGAGTGCCACCTGGAATGCCTTGTTTTGGCTTATGTCCTAACCACTGTGCAGACTAGCAATATAAATGTGTAAGCCATATCATTTCTTTAAAAACCATAAATTTATTCAAACATACTGTAACTGCTAAAGTCAGCATTAATGGGTACTTACAATATTGATGTGGACATTCATAATGACATCCCTATATAAGGTGCTTGAAAATTTTAATGTCATATTTCAACATCTGTTGTAGTTGTTAATTTTGTTATTTAAAATTCCATATTATTCTACAAGTTTCATTAATGTGCAATTATATGAAGTATTTTGTGTACAGATAAATGAATATGAAGTGAAGATGGAAGTTGTGGAAAAGATGGAATTTTACTCAATAAAAATGGCTTGAAAATTAATTTAAGGGGGTGGATGACAAATACTTCTTTCTTATGAAGTATTGGCAGACACTCCCAACTGTAAGTAGTGATCACAGGCAGTTGTTGTAGTTAAGGTAATATGAATATTTTTAATATGTGGGTAGAGTGTATGTGTATATTCAAGATTATCTAGAAGGATATTAATATTTATTGTTAAAGTAAACCTTAATATGAACCAAAGTTTGCTGAGATTCTTCTGGCTGTTTTATTATTATACTGTAGGTTATTGTTGTGAAGTTATTTACATATTTAGCCTCTCTCTAAGCAACTAAGTATTCATTTTAAATAAGTGTCTTCTTTTAACTTAATGTTTCAGATTTGTTTGGAATCTTAATGGGTATTAACAAAAAACAAATTTTTGATAAAAGGATTATATTCAAGTTATATGAATGTTGCTTGTTAAGAACAATGTAAATAGCTATAGACATTGTTGAATAACGTTTTTCTTTATTTTTAATTAAAGGTGCCATAATATAAGGTTCTATAACATACCATCGCAAAACTGCGCATAAGAAAATCATATGATAGAGGTCTGTATGTGTTATTGTTTTTCTTACATTGTTTCTGCCCTGTATGGGCTTATGTTTGAAAAGTCTCCAGTGTGTTCTTTCTTCCCACAGTATTTGTTCCCTTTATCTGAGATCCATTTTAATAATATTCTCCCACCTATTCCTAAGTCACCTCTGCATTTTTAATGAACCAGATTGAAGACAGCAAGTCTGAACGTGAAGTAGATGTGTAACTGATCTCATCTGCTTCTGATGTATAATCATCTGCCAGTTGGGCCACTTGTTGACATATTGTAACCTCATTCATCCAGTAGTTTCTGTAGTGGTCTTCTTCGGTACCATGATCCATGTGGTCAGTAGTTACTTTACTTCTGGAAGTCTGTTTCTATACGTTCTGTTGACATGCAAAATCTAATAGCTGTAGGCTATTTACATGTATGGTTGTGCTGTAGTTTTATGTGGGTGTGAAACTTGGTCTCTGACAATAAGGGAAGAACTTAGACTGAGGGTGCTGAGGAGACTATTTGGACTGAAGAGGGATGAAGTGGTAGGAGGTTAGAGAAAACTGCATAATGAAGAACTTTGTAACTTATATTCTTCGCCAAATTCAGGGTTATTAAAAAAGAATGAACCAATTTTATTATGCAATATTTTATTAAAGGAAAGTAATACAAAACTCCAGCCAAGTCACAAGTATTCTACTCACAATCAACTTTTATTTCCTGTCTTACAAGTGTTCAATGTGGCCACCACCTGCAGCACGGGCAACATCAATGCGATAAGAGAATTCCTCCCAGGCGCATATCAGCATATCACAATGCACTGAGTTAATCGCTGTTATTCGATGTTTAAGGTCATCGTGGTGAGTGGGTAGTGCTGTAACATAGATGTGATCTTTTACATATCCCCACAAGAAGAAATCACACACGGTGAGGTCTGGGGATCTCGCAGGCAAAGCACAAAGAGCAAGGTCTTGGGCCCGCTTCCGACCAATCCATCAATGGGGCACTTCCTCATTTAAAAAAGCTCGGACCATCAGGTGCCAATGGGGCGGTGCTCCATCTTTTTGAAAAATGAAGTCGTGCAAATCTGCTTGCAGTGAAGTGAAAAGTCAGTTTTGGAGCATATCGAGATAGGTTTGTCCTGTAACAGTGTTTCCTTCAAAGAAAAAGGGACCTTAAACCTTGTCCTGAGACACAGCACAGAAGACGTTCACCTTAGGGGAATCTCTTTCGTGCTCAACTGTTTCATGTGGGTGCTCTGTTCCCCAAATATGCACATAGTAATGACTGACTGTGCCGCTCAAGTGAAAAGTTGCTTCATCACTAAAATTAAACGTGAAATGAAGGTTTCGTCTTCCCATCATCTCCAGCATTGAATTGCAAAATTCCATCCGCTTCCTTTTGTCGTCATTGGTAAGTGCCTGAATGAGCTGCAGTCTGTATGGTTTCAAATGTAGACGTACTGTTAGCACATGCCAG